GATAAGTAAGATCAGATCGGTAACCATTTTGAACGCTTTTGCTCTAGACTAGTGGAAAAGGAACGTGTTCGTTTGATACACTATTCAGGTATTATTCTTTGTCGTGCTGCACAAGTCCATTTAGTAGGGTGATCGAGCCAAGCTTAAAACTGTGATGTTTTATTTTTCCCTTATCTTTGCACACATCAAATCATTTTCCCTAGATGATTATGATTAGATTGGAATATGTAAGATCAGATCGATTAGTAGCCGCTTGTTTTTATTCTTTTTGCTCTATACTACTGTAGTGGAAAAGGAACTTGTTAGTTTTATACGGTATCCCAGGTATTAGTCTGCTTGTCATGCACACAAGTAAAACGTAGATTGAACATTACAGAGTCCATTTTTTCTATCGTAGAAATATATTCTCCTCAAAAACCATTATTGATCTTAATCTGGATGACCCAAATCATTATCGAATAGTACTATACATTGTATACAATCAATGGAAGGGGATAACATTCGAAGCCATTCTCTCTTTCTCTTTCCTACATGTTGTTATACTGTAGATGGATTGATTGGATATGGGATTCAGTGGCTAGTCGATGGTAGTACCCGATGCTCAAGGCTATTCTACATTTTAAGCTAACCATCTTTCTAGTAATAGACACGGAGATCGATATCGTATTGAATAAATGATACTTCAAACCCTGTAGGGTTAATCATTTAAATCATAGCTGTCTTATACACTGCAAGACATCAGCTAATTTACTGTAGCTTAGTGGTAAAACGTGATAGTACAATAGGAGGTTAAAATTCCTAGCATCTCTCCATATCCTTCCTCTCACGTACTGTATATTGATTTATCATGACAGAGATTCTACAAGGGTAGAATACCTTTCCATCGCCTTTATTGCTTTAATGGAAATTAGCTTCAAATATGACATGCAGGGATGACTGTACTGATGATGACAAGATACTCAAATGATGATTTGCAGTAGCACCTTGAGAAGCTTGAAAGGGATAGGATAGCATTCGTAGCAGTAATTTCTCTCGAGATGAATTCTATGCAGTACTGTATACACTATACTGTAACTCTGCTGTTTCTATCATATTGCACAATTTACTTTCAAATGAGAGACATTAATCAAAAGGACATCCATCTAATCACCTTGATCAAAGTCACCAGCGAACAATATTACAAAATAGGATCGACATCATTGGCAGTTATTGACCTAAATAGAAATTGCTATTCATCGTTATATGCTTTTCTACCAAAGAACGATATGACTTTGCTGCTAATGTGAAAATAGGTGGTCCGTCATTTTCTCTATCATCGACCCTGTCAAGACTTTTAATCAATTTTACGCTATCATGGCTTCACTTCGTTTACAGAATGAACTGTTGTAGCTCTACTAGACTTGCAATGCTACAAATTAGATTGCTCTTTATATTTTATATCGATCAATATCTAAAAAATGTCAAAGATGGAAAGGTGTTCTTCTCAGTCACTTGACAAGTTTTCCTATCTCTATGCTACTAAGGTTTCTGCTATCGTAACCACTTCATGAAATGAAATATTAGTAGGGAATCGAAATGGACCATCGCATTACTTGAATCAATTCTCTTGACACTCTTTTATCTCGTCACATTTCATAATTTTAACTCTTCAGATATTACCATGTCCATTGTTTGCGAAATATAAATATTGAATCATCAACTATTTCATTTTATCACAGAATCAAGGAATTCTGATTGCCGTTGGTGCTGTGATTGTCACTTTAATTATTTACAGCATTCTTATTACACCTGGAAAGAAATCCTCTCCAGTTGCGTTAGATCCAACCAAGAAAATCCCCTTTAAAATGATTGAAAAGGAGGTAGGCACCTGCTTTCATTTACCATAACCAGTTTCTATATTTCGTCTGTCGTATTCTAAATATAATTTTATGCGCGCAGCTTATATCTACGTTATCTTTTAGTAAACTATGATGGGCTTCATATCGACTAGGATTTTTCTATTTTGCCCTAGAACCATGTCAATTAAAAATGGAATACATTACTTTATGCTTTAAAGTCTTTGCAAATGCTCCAAGTTTTACGGTAGTATTACACCACTTTAAGTTTAAGCAAGATTGTTTTCGCTAGCTTAACTAACCTAGTATAGACAGGATAATGGGCATTCTGTCAAGCCTTGCTGCATAATTTTGTAGAAAAATAAATCATTTGTCGCCAGTAGCGTAATGGTAATAGCGTTTGCATTTTCATTCTCAAAAGCAGTTTGAAAACTTTAAACGTGCAATCTACAAGTCTATGGCAGCTTATATATTATAGTCGAGTAGTTTTCGCTAGTCGAATACAGACTGCAATGCATTCTCTCAGCTTTGCTGCGTAGTGGTAGAAGAAGAATGGAAATGATTTCATTGTTGTAACGGAAGTAGTATTTCCATTTTCTATCAAGTCCTCCAATATCCTTCGCAATTACTTTACTAATCTATTTTCACACTTTGTCAGTTAATTACACCAAAAAACGTTTAGACAATAGCCGTTTATAATCAAATGTAGCCATCGAAATATTTCTAATATGGTGATGATGACATTTCTAATAGAATATTAGCCATGACACCAGACGCTTCAGATTCGCTCTGCAAAGTCCAGATCATATCTTGGGATTGCCGATAGGTTTGTTTATTCTCTTGATAATGTATAATGTATTTATTGCGGTATTTACAACTTTAACTGCTGCTAAAATTAGTATATAACTATCATCGTCAATATTCAATTGATTAACGACTTGGTACTTTTAATTTTACTTTTTTGAAATTACTTATAACAGTCTAACAGTCTACGGATGTATTCAAGTCAAATTATTGTGCTGTTTATGTCAACATTCATTAACCCTTATTTCGATGTCCTATCGCAATAGGTCAGCATATGTATCTCAGTGCTGTTATCGATGGCGCTTTGGTAGTTCGTCCTTATACCCCAGTATCTTCTGATGATGACGTTGGCTATTTTGATCTGGTTATTAAGGTAGAAAGATATATAATGAGGCTATATAGCTTCAGCAGTCTTACTTGCATCATCATCCCCATAACTTGAAATAAAGGAAACTTGTGCTAAATTTATTTGCCAACGAAAAATTAATAACAACGAGTGGCAAGTTTCAATGAAAGTTTACAAAACCCTTTTATCTTTGTTATCGAACAGATCTACTTCAAAAATGTACACCCAAAATTCCCTGATGGAGGTAAAATGTCACAATATTTAGAATCGATGAAAATTGGTGACACAATTGATGTACGCGGACCAAGTGGAAAAGTAACATATTTGGGTCGAGGTAAGATATAATCATGATGGAAAGAATGCATTTATTGCGTTCTTGTACGAATCAGTGTAGATTAAAAGTGATCAATTCTTATATGTACTTACGCACTTGCATATTTAAACGGATGATTTATTTATTAGCGTAATAAAATGATAGCTTTACTTCCCGTAAGCAACCTTTACCCCACTATAGTCCACAACATCTGAAATGCTCTATATTTATTAAATGATTGCAATTGTAGGCAAATTAAGCATCAAAGAAAGTCCTAAAAAAGATGCTGTAATCAAGAATGTGAAAAAATTAGGATTAATCGCTGGAGGAACTGGTAAATTTCTTATTATGTAATACAAGAGTACAAGCTGTAATCTTTACTACGCTTTGAAATCACATCAAAAAAATGTCGACTGCAGAGTAGACAACTTGATGACATTTATCTATCTTGTCTGATTGCGTTTGTAAACTATTCGATACGTGAATAGACTTGCCTAAAAATTAGTAATACGGTAGTAACCGTCAACATAGATAGCAATTTAACCCTATTCTACCTTACAGGCATTACTCCAATGCTGCAAATTATTAGAGCTGTCTTGAAAGATCCCGAAGATAAGACTGAATTATCACTCTTATTTGCAAATCAGGTAATGTGCGATGTATTAATGTTATTACGACATCGTCATGAACTGAGATTATATAGCAAATCTTTTCTAATGAATATGATAATATACTGAAATATTAGACTGAGAATGACATCCTACTTCGTGACCATTTGGAAGAAATTTCTCAACAGCATCCTAACGTCAAGGTCTGGTATACCTTAGATAGACCTCCGCAAGGCAAGTTCAATATTTTCATTTCAAGTAATAGACTCTTCAGGCTACCCGCAGACTATAATAGATTAATCATTTCGTTATATCACTATCCTATAAATTAGATTGGCAATATAGCTCTGGGTTTATTAATGACGACATGCTTCGCGAGAGGATGCCAGCACCAGGGCCTAGCACACAAATTCTGATGTGTGGTCCACCTCCAATGATCAAATTTGCTTGTTTACCAAATTTGGAGAAATTAGACTACAAGGAATCGATGTACTTTGCATTTTAATGCTGCTATTGTTTTCATGCTCTAATTACATTAATTATTATTCATTAACAAAATCATCTGTTTATCATTCATGACATTCACAATGGGGCTTGATTTCAAATAAAACTTTACTCAATATGCAATTAAATTGATTTGCGTTCTTCGTTCTTTTACAATGAATAACGGTTGTTTCTTAGTTTTTATTAATTAACAAGGTAGAGTAGGTTAAAAATAGATGAAATTTCGCCTTAAAAAAATTTTACAGTGTATTTATATCATGAATACCAATTTTACATTGTCATCTGCACTAGTGAATAAAACATGCATTCTATTTCCATCACTGTTTGTTGCCTTTTTTCTTAAATTTTTTCTCTTTATTCTTGGATTTTTTGGTTTTGGGGGCCTTGATGTACCAAAGAACCAAAAGATTATTAAATTTATTGAAATTAGACTAATTAGCGTTCTTATACTCACCAAATGGTTGGTTTTGCTGTCGTTATTTCTAAAATTGAAATAAATATGCTTTAAGTTCTTTAGCACTCGATGCAAGTACTCGTAGCATTGTATAGAATTAACATGAATAGATTGCCTACAACTTACATTTTGCTAATAAATTATGTTTATTTGAATCACACACCTTTTAATACTAACTAATCCGATTGGCTTTTCTTTTGGAAGGGCATCTTGCCATTCACTTTCCTTTCCCGCTATAGAGTATCTAAGAGATTTAATCCAATGTGGCTTACAATTAACTATAATTAAAATCTAGTAAACAAGAGTAGAGCAATTCGTCCATCTTTTATAACTATACAGTATGCATATACTGTATATGTCTGAACAATAATCATTTCAAAAAACTCTACTCACTCGCTTAGATTGATATTTTCCAGTTGTTTAATGTTATCGTTCTTCTTAGTTTCATAATCAACTGCTGCTTCGGTCTATAATTTAAAAAACAGAAATATTTTAATACTCGTACATAATTTGCTGTACGCTACGAACATCTATTATTATACATTACTAACCAGCTCTTCTTTTAGAGTTTTAATAACAGGTTTCATATCTGCAACAAACGAATCGTCTTCGTTTATTTGCTTAGAGAGGTCTGCCACTTCTATTTCATTGAAATGATTTACAATCTTTCTTATAGTTCTATTAAATAGACCAAGCAGTTGCGTTGAAGGTAGGCTCAGTTCTTTCTACCATATCAAATTAGAAATATTCATAGAGTTAATTAACGCTGTACGTTTTATTCATCATATCATTGTCACAATATTTATTTCACTTCAGGTACCTCTAATTCGTCAATAGTTTTGCGTTGCAATCCCAGGCCTAAAAGTATTGCCTGCAGGTGTTGAGATTAGTTTTAGATAGGCAACAACAAAGCGGCTGGATGTACCAATTATAAAAATTTGTTTTATAAGTGATTAATCTATACTATTAAGCCTACCGCTTGAACGGAAGATAAATTGAATTCAAAGCGATCTGTGAAATAGAGTTTGGCAACTGTGGGTGGAGATAAAGAAACATTATCATATTGAGATAAATCGTCATACTTTTTTGTACAAGAGCATTCACGTTCATCAAAAAGTGCGAAACAATAAGTGATACTTACTACTTGGCAGCAAATCGGTTACCAAGTGATAATCAGCCATTTTACGAGAATATATATCCAACCTTTTCAAATCATATTTGATAAAAATCGATGAAAGCTCAGCCGGCGTAATTGCTATATCGGGAAAATTAGATATGCGAATTTAGTCTCGGGCCATTCTGATTTTTATAAACAGACATAAGCTATCAACATTTTGTCAGTATATACCTTTGTAGGAACTTTGTAATTGTTCTCTCTTCGATAAAACACTAAGTCCTAAACCAGGTAAAAAGTTTCGAAACTGATACGACAGCAGTGTTAAGAATCTTTTCCTAAAATCTAAGTTTAAAAATAATACAATATCAATAATTAGAATCCAGTTCTAGAAGCATGGACAGTTATTGAAACATGTTTTAAATCTTACCTTCCCAGTATGCTTTTAGCCATCTCATATTTGGATTATTTTCCACATCTTGATATAATACTTTCAGCATAATGCAACTGTGTTCTCCAGTAAGATCGTTCTAGTAATTAATGTATACTGCACATCAACTCACGTAATAACCTAATTTGCTAAGATCCCTCAATTTCATATTTTTACATACCGGTGTTTGCCGAATATATACCGGTACATAACCAGATTTTGTCCAAAATCTATTTCAACAGATATCATGATTAATGAATTGAAGAAATTATCTGTACTGTAAGATAGTACTACAAACCTTAATAATTGATTTGTGAGACCATATGAAACACCAAGGTAATCTAACTTTGGAGCTTTACATTCAGTTAAATTACTTAAAAGTGGTGGTAGACCTGATCTTGGTTTGATGACTTCATCCAACAAGCTCACACCATCATCCTAATCGTGATATTAATAATAAGTTACCATAAATTTATCCGCGGCGATTTCCTTTTTGCAAATCATATTGTAAAATGTAGTATCATTGCTATTTCAACAAAATCGCTGTATATTTACATCGACATTTTTAAATTGATGATCTGTGGCCGTAGTTTCATTAAATTCTTCATCTTGTAATAAGTCGGAAAATCTACCTTCATAAAATTCTTGCAATAAGTGGAGAGCTCGTGCACCATAGCCCAGCTAAGAAATGTCACATCATAGATTAGAATCAACGAAATGCTATTTACCGGTAAATATATATTAAAATGTGACTTACGCCTTGCAAATCTGGATGAGTAGCAATTCGTATTACTCGAGCACCGGATAGGGAACCAAAGTTATAATCTTGAAACTGTTGGGATATTGTCCATGGAATCATATCGCCAGATGCTCGTTTACCTTGCGACAAACTATTCATAACTAAATGCTTTGATATCCCACCTTCAAGGCAAACCTTGTTTTGTTAATCAAATATTTATGATCATTATCTTCAGGGAATAATTATTTTGACACAATTATCTATTTCATCAAATCATTCATAACTAGTAAATCAGACCTGAATAACACATAAAATATCAGGCAAAGTCTTGCTCTTTTCAATCGATGGACCAAGAAGACAAAATAAATGATGTGCTGGTGCATCAGAAAGCATTTGTAGGTCATTAGGGGTATTCTGATAAATACGAAGAAGATAATCATTGTCAATCAATGGTGAAGTAAAATAATATTTAAGCTATACTAATCCTAATAAGCAGGAAGAAACTACTTTTTATTACCTTGTAGTGCGATGCAACATATATAGACATTAATCTTTGTAAAAATGCTTCAGAGGCTTTATGACATGAGAATAGGGTATCTCTGTTAACGTAGTATGTTTACACTGTTAAGGCAATACGATCTATTTCGATTGTATCTGAATTTGGTTAATGATTGTAACTATCTTGAATATTGTTAGGATATAATTCGCAGTCATTAGGTGAAGGACACGCAGTGATAAATCTCTGAATGTTGGAAATATCAAGGCAAAGCAATTTATAAAGCCATTTTTCTATTTCATCACCATTACTGTAACGAATTGATTCGTTTAATTCGATTTCATGTAAGATTCGACCTTAACATTACAAGGAGGAAAAATAAAAATTACTTCATTCAATTAATTCGGATGTACAAACCAAAATAAGGTGCTTTACCTTTAATGGTTTGAGTGCTACTAGCAGACGAAGCTGCAGATGTCGCCTGTTGTTGCCTTAATTGTTCAATTAGTTTAAGAGAAAGAGATCTTCCAGTTCCCTCATAACTAAGTGATCAATAAAAAGAATACGTTATAGATTTGATATTATACGTATAGCTAATTTTATACCGTAAAAATAGTGCATACCCATTGATAGTGGAAGCCATGAAAACTAGGTAAGGACCCAGAATAGAACGAACTAGAGGTAGGGGGATTGCAGCTGCTTCATCAATAACGACTAATTCTGCTTGTCCTAGTTTACCAGCATCAGATGGGTGAAAGTACTACCATCCAATAGGTGCGAGAAGGAAAGAAATTAGAGATTGAAAAATTACATGAATTTATATTACAAGCTATAAGTAAAGGAATATAGCAGACCTGAATTGTTTGCCTGTGCTCCATAAAAACATTAACACGAATAACAGCCTTATTATACTCAGGGTTGGTAGATTGAATAATTTCATAGTCTTGATGTTCCTTTAACGAGTAAATCATGCGATAAAATGAAAATTACTCTCTAATTCATTAGTATAGTGTTTATATGCCTGCACTACGATTAGAGATAACTTTAGTTCGATTACCTCATATCCTAGAGCGTCAAATCCTTTAAAAACAAACTCAAACAGTGTGTGTAAGTTTTCTGGGCTTGGAGATGTGACAAAAATGTTCGAGTAGCTAAACGGTAATAAATCATTATTTACAGAATTAACCAAAATGCACTATATACGTCTATCAATGAACATTCTTTTATAGCGAAATATTAATCGAGCATGCCTGAAGGCGATTGCGCCGGCTATGACTAATCCGAGAGCAGCTGATTTGCCTCGCCCTCGAGCAGCAGTCAATGCTATTGTCGATGTTAATGTCTTTTCTGATATCACTTCAATGAAACGTAATAATGCTTTCGCCTAATATAAAAAATTTAACGGTGTTAATACAATGATCTGTACGACATACTACATAATTGTCAGTCTTCAATTCCAACAAATTGAGTGACTAACTTGGTCAAGAGTCTTTGTTAAATTTAAAAGGCTGCAAACAGGTTGTGTATCTGCTAAAGAGTCTTTCAATACTTTTAATTCTTCTTCTTTAGGGTCTTCACTGTCCTGAATATACATAACGTAAATCACTTTTAACACATTCGCTTTTTGCAGAACTGCGATGGAAACAGTTTATACTAATTTGTGGTACAAATTACCTTCATAGACGCTGCAATAGGTGTAATGTTAGAAGAACTTGATGAAATTGGTAAAATATTGAATTGATCGTCCATAACTAAGCATTGTTTACAGGACGCTAACGATAGCATAAATCTACAAGTTTCAAAAGTACGTATATCAGCGAGAAAATGTGCAGTTAATGAAGAAGTATAATATATTGTAGCGCTAGAACCTTTCATTGAATCTGCAGATAACTTGTTGATGGGATTCAGTTCTGTAACGTGAATGAACATCCTAGTAGAAATGACGTTGCAGGGCAGTTTTAGTTGAGAGAATAAATGTTTACCATAGTTTTATAGTCAGTGATAAGTTTAAATCGATTGTAAATGAATAGAATTTAATTTTTATCGATATAATGAGAAATTCTATGGCTCAAGTATGTAATGACGTAATTATAAAACAATTAACTAGCCGTTTATTGGCAAGTAAAGAAAGATTGCTTATCCATTCAATAGTTTCTACAGTCAAGTAGACCAAGAACGTACCATAGTAAATGTAAACAATTTCTTAAGAGAATTCATGGACTTTAGGAGAAAAATTACTAAACCGCCACCTTCGACAGTTTCTACAGTTCTAGCGAGGATGTTTGGAGTTAATGCTTCAAAATCCTATCATGAAATCCATTGAAAAGGTGAGCTTCGTTATTCAATAAACGATGTGGATATTGACGTATATAGTTGAAAGCAGTTTCTATATGTAACTATTGCAAATTCTACATCATCATTTCATGAGTATTACAGTTTTATCAAGTAGTAAAATAAGGCACTGTATGAAAAACATAGCTAATCTATCTGTAATACAGGTATAAGCAAGTCGCAATTACTATTACCGTATCTCAGTGTATTGTAGCCATGTCACGTAGCAGAAATAAGCTACAAAATATCAGCTGAATTACCTGTAATCCTAGCATATTGAAATATTACTACATCATTTCACGTATATTGTACTCATAGCAAGTAGTAGAATAAAGAACAGAAAGATATCAGCTAGATTACCTGTAATCCTAGCACAAAAAGTATTACTACAGTACATCATTTCGCGTATATTGTAATCATGTCAGATAGTCGAATAGATTACACAATATTAGCTAAATCACCTATTATCCTAGCATATAGCAAATATTACAACTACATCACATCATGTAATTATATCAAGTAGTAGAATAGAGTACACAATATCATCTAAATTGCCTGTAATCCTAGTATACCGAAAGTGTTACTACACATCTTTTTATGGACTCGTATATATGTTGCAGTCTTGTCAATTAGTAAGCTAGAATACAAAATAGCAGTTTGCATTACCTGTAATATAAGCATACCAAAAGTATTACCCAAAATTTTGAAAGTTTCTGAGTAATAGCAGTAGCGAATATTGGTACTTGCAATAAATAATTCGAAAGGATCATCTTTATTGATTGCAACATTTCCGCTTTTAAGCTTTTTCTGCAACTGTCTCATTCTCTTTTTACGATGGCTGATCCATGATGAAGGAAAGCAATAGTAAGACGATATTGATCAGGATGACCAAGTATTGCAAGACTATTAAAACTTTTTTAGTAGTGTATGAAGTATTGATAGCCTAACACAGTGAATATGAAATACCTGCTAAAGCCAAGCTCTTTCTTATAACACCATAGTACGGAAGGCCGAGATTTGACAGTTGCTTTCGTTAGCATGTGATGCAAGATGACAACCTGTAATTAAAATTAGAGAAATGGCATGCGTTCGGCATCCATTGCCCACATTGCGACACATTAATTAGCGTAGTGGAAATCAATAGCTATAAAATTATCTTACCTTATCTCTACCTTGATCGCCAACAATGACAAACATCGATCTTTGGCGTAATCCTACGCCATTTTCGATTAGTGTGCGTATACGAGAATCTAACTTTTGCAGCACCATTTTGATTTAATCAGCTGAGAGCTGCAGCTTAGCAATAAGTGCAGTAGGAGGACTAGCCGCTGCAGAGATCTGCTCGATGTCACGTGGCAACCGGGAAGACGACGTTGGTGGTTGATCAATGCGCTTTGTCTAGTATGGTAGGTGGTGTTTGGGTATCTATACTGGTAGTTTCCCTTAATCGCATACAGTTGTAAGATAGCCTACCCAAACATGTCATACAGCCTATACTAGCCATTGGATAAAATTCGATTATTGTCCTTGTAACGAAAGTACCATACACTATTTACTATCCTATACTTCACCACGGTCTTCTCTACTCCTTTGGTGTAATCCTTTCAATTTGGCCTTTGAATCCGTAGTCTACCCTACTAGCACCTACCCGCACACTGTGGTGAAGACAATAACCCCCCCCCCCCCCTCTTGAACCCCCCCTTTCATCTTTCATCTTGAGAGCGTTGATTGAGCAAGCTGCAACACTTTATTCCAACATGGCTGTTGGTATGCTAGTAAGGGAATCATTCCTATGGTGGATTGCTGCCATTTATTTATTCGCCTTCACATCCTTCTATCTGCAGATACCTGGTATAAATTTAAAGATTGATTTCTTGCGATATTTTTTAGAGCCTAATGTTATCCAGGTCGTAGTGTGGATCGATCAATGAAATGATCAGTCTTAGTTTGTCAGAATAGAGTGTACGATTTAGTTTTAAATAGCGATTTCAATTCTTATTTTTAACCTGGTTGATACTATTATGGTTATACTTGAGAAATTTTGAATTTATTATGGCGTGGAGCCATTGATAAGTATTCAATTGCATAGATCGATTCAAACCTACAACATACCTTGCACAATATCGTCATGATAAGTCGCTAATACAGTATACGCTTGTATAGTATCGTATACGTATGTGCTGACATGTAGAAACCATTGCAATGCAGGCATGTTGTAGTGGATGCCGTGCGAATAATATAATATAATTTGGAAGACTTTTAACTAGTTACTTCCTGTCGCCATTCAGCAGAATTGTACATTTCTTCTTCTGCTCTTCTTTTATACTGCGTTCAAATAATGTTCGAATCACTGTTCAGTAAATACTGTGGTGGCGCACGCCGTTTTATACTAGACTAGACGAGACTAGCGATAATGAACGAACAATACTGTGTGATGGGAAACGTGATCAATGTTCATCAAGAAAAGCGCTATTGAGATAGGATAAAGTAGCCGTTAGCTCATCATGGGCATGGTTATCATATTGCACAGATTTGCAAGCTTGTCATTCAACAATTTTACTAAAATACAAATTTCATTTTATCTAGTCCAGCCTAAGATAGTATTGTCAAACAATAATACAATCTAAACATGTACAGTACTTTACTTTATTAGATAAGGATAGAAAACTTTTGTTTGGTAAAATCGAATTTTATAGCACAATACCGTAGTTGGTAATACTGCCAGCATTATTTCAATATTTAAAAATAAATTTACAATGAGCGACTTTTAAATATTCAATCACGTCCTAACTTTTCTTTCAAATTATGTGTAGGTCTGTATGGCAAGAATGGTATTATTCCTGTTGATAACCAACTAGATCTGAAAAACGGTAACGAAAAGTCCATCCGTGTTGTAGTATTTTAGCGACATTTAAAAACAGGATATTACACCCTTTTAACAGCAGTTTCTCTTGTTTTTTTTTCTAATCATAATTTTAAGTGTTATGATTACAGTAAATTCTTTATCCTTAGTGTTTATGGTGCAATTTTTACCGCTTAATATTGCTCAATTAATATGACACATTCCCAAGATATTAAAAAATAGGCAAATAGACGATGTTGATAACAAAGCTACAATACATTGAAAGTACCCTACAGCATTAGTATACGAACGTATTCTACCAGTACTTTACACTAATTCCTTAAAGCAAATGTAAAAAAAGATAACATAAGAGTAATATTACAGACAGTTGAAGATAGTAACTATATATTTTAAAAATACTTTTATTTAATAAATGTTGTGGTTGTTGTATTGTAGATTAAATGGCTAAAATTTACATTTATATAATTATAATTGACGATATACGCGTAATGACTTCATACAATCCGTCATGATATCATTCATTTAATAGTAAACCTGCATGCCTAAGTAGATTTGATGCTGTGGTTATTCTGGTATATGATTATACTCGTATTTTGTAAGGACTAATATAGCCGCTATACGACAAATCAAACTAATCATCAATTAAGCGTTTTCGTAAACTAAAAGAACATGCAATTGAAATGCCTTTTAAATTCATGATCATAATGGTAAAAGTTACTAGTTTGGTAGAGCTATCAAGGCAAAAATTTTATAAATGACCAATAGAGTCCAGATATTAGATTTTATCAGCAATTTGTTGCAAAATTTGTGATACCATAGTGTCACAACAGTTACTATAATTGACAAGGAAACACTTTGAGTAAAATATTGACTGCAGTACTACTAGTATATTCATGCTTAATTTAATATATTAAAGTAAATATGGTTTTGCAGTCTGCACGATATCGGTCTGAGTGACTACGGATGATGTCAGGACGATATTTAACTATTTATTTTATTAACAAATTTGTACTATCATATTATATTCATTAGTTGATGATCCAGCTAAAAAGTTCTCTTCGACACCGACATTATTATGGTTTATGGGCGATTATGGCTTAGACGCTGAACAATCACTAGAGTTACTATCAATTGTTGGTATGCTACTAGCTTGGTTTGCTATGATAACACCTCGTGTTAGAAATGCAGCAACATTCCTTGCTTTGTGGATTTTTTACCTATCTATATTTAAGGTACCGTACCATTGTAGGTATCTTATTACATAATCGCAAATTGATTATTTTCGTGTACCAAGTTGAAACTATCCAATGCTTCATAATTTGAGTAATGTTCAGGTCTTATTATACGTTAAGTAAATAATAAAATCAGTGTGCACAATACGGTTATTGGAGTTCATTAATATTATTAATATTAAACTAGTAGAGGGTACTTAAAGAAGTACTGCTATCTCTCTGGAAATAAATGACTAATGATGATAACAAGTAATTTATTTTCTGTTTTCTCGTCTAAACTTTTTCTTTTACTGTGCTGCTATTAATAAACTACATCTTTTAGGTTGGCACTATCTTCCTTTGGTTTCAATGGTAAGCAATCTACTAAACATTGGTTTGTTCGATGTTAATCCAGAAAATGATACCTTTTGCCCACTATACTGATGTACCGTTAAAAATAATACAGATAATTAATTGTTATAAATTGACGGACGTACTACTAGTAGCGTTTAAAATGTAATAATTAAGGAAAGCGACAACAAACTGTTTCCTTGCTGTGCTGATATTTATTCGTTCTAATCGATGATACGACCTATTTGTATGGGATATATAGGGATATTTTACTTTTGGAAACTGGGTTTTTGGCGATATTCGTTGCCCCTTTTGCTCTAATCAGATCTAGAAAGTACGAACTTTGTGTAGATCGATCATACTAAGATTTAACTGATATATTAAAAAATTATTGCAGTAATGTCAATATTGCTCTTGACATTTTTTCAACTGATAGGATAGAACCTCAAGCACATGACAATTTAACCATGTGGCTGATTAAATGGCTTCTCTTCAGGCTCATGTTTGCGTCCGGCGTAGTTAAGTTAACAAGTGAATGTCCAACTTGGTGGAAATTAACTGCATTAACTATCCATTACGAGAGCCAGGTCATTCATTTATTATTATTCGTACTACTGTACTATAAGTTCAAAAAGAGTTTCGAAAATTTCACGACATTAGCGCTATGAAAAGCTAGATAACGTTTAATAGGCCATTATTTGTTAAGACTACTCTCATTACTATATTCTCGATAGAAAAAAATAAATCTTAAATTATATTCATTATTTCATTCAGTGTATTCCAACACCACTAGCATGGTATGCCCATCAACTTCCTGTATGGTTTCAAAAATTTAGCGTTGTAATGACGTAAGTGTTTATTATAGTTATCTGTGGTGATGATAAATTTATATAAGCAAAGACTTGACAAATTTTATTGCCTGAAGCTTAACTTTTCTTTTTAACTTGCAGCTATGTCATCGAAATTGCCTTACCTTTCCTATTCTTCTCGCCTATCCGGAGCTTGCGGTTAATTTCATTTTATGGCCAGGTTTATACGACATTATTCAATTGTCATAGTAAAGCATAATTAAAGTTTTCTGCACTGCAAGCACTGCAAGTCTACCGTATCTAAAGTATTTGCATTGATTTGTATTGCCTTGGCTAATATTTGTATTTTTCATTTATCAGTTACTTTTACAGATATTAATCATTCTTACTGGAAACTATAACTTCTTTAACTTATTAACAATTGGATTATGTATTTCACTTTTGGACGAAAACTACTTAGCGAAGTGGTTTTCAGTTGATAAAGAACCAACCGACAGTTAGTAGTATATGATTGTGTTGCTAGATCACATGTATATGATTATTACACAGATATAATTTTTACTATACGCATATCATCTATTCTTCTAGAAGAGGGAACAGGCGCATTACCAACTGGTGTTCAAAGATTTATAGGATGGATTAAATGGCTTCTAACAGCCTGGGCTATGCTAATGTTATGTTATTGGGTACAGCGATTGTTTACAGTGCGTTTTATGGAAGGAAATCAACCGATAACTTGTAAAATAGGTAATTTGTAATATAACGATACGACGCTTTTACTTAACCTTAGTTTAATATTATTATTACCTGACTATACTCCTATTTATCGTTCATTCATGCAGCATTTACCAAAGCCAGTTTCAATTCTGCACTTGTATCTGCCATGCCTATTACTGTCTGGATAGGTTCGATTAGTTTACTTGCCGAAATCTTAACAACGATTAAAAATTCAATTATTGCTCCTAATAATGTTGGACAAAAATTCTTTACTACCTTAAAGAGCAGCGTATATATCATTGCAGCTATCGTCCTTTTCTGTATTAGCTTGAATACTCACTGTGTTCTTGATCCTAAATTACAAAAGTCACTATCACCTGTTATTAAAAAGTGGTATGATGACTCGAAAAGTCTCGAAATAAGCAATCCTTACGGATTATTTCGAAGGTATATCATTTTGATCGATAGTACAGTAATAAGGTTACTACAAGTTTCTTGCGTTTTGATAATTACCATATACGGAGCATTTTCTTATGTTGATTTATGCAGTATGACTGGTGTTGGCGGTCGTCCAGAAGTCGTCATTGAAGGCAGTGATAACTTAAATTCAGGCTGGAAAAAGTACGAATTTTATTACAAGCCCGGTAACGTTAGAAGATCGCCGCCAGCAATAACTCCTCATCAACCACGTCTTGATTGGCAAATGTGGTTTTTGGCTCTTGGCTCCTACGATCAAAATCCATGGTTTAAAAGTTTCTTACATCGTCTCTTAACTAATCAAAAAGAAGTTGTTGAACTTCTTCAGTATAACCCCTTCCCTGACAAACCCCCAAAATATATACGCTCTAAGCTATATCATTATCATTACACTAGATATAACTTCGCCAGAGGCTATGCTGGGTTAGTTTTACTTTAATAATTTCATCTTGAAATCCGCTTGTTCCATCGGTTGATTTTGTTTTCCTCTGATTTAGTCTTTTCAATACCTCACAATCGTGGTGGAGAAGGGAAATAAAACGGGATTTTTCTACAAGAGTTAGCATAGACGATCAAGATATACGAGCAACTATGTATCGATACAGAATGAATTTGGTAAGTTACAATGAAGTCATTTATTTTGTTGTTTTTACGGCTTTTGAATCAGACAGCTCAAAATATTTATATGTTATTTCTCAATTTTTATACAGCATCCTAAACGTAACATAAAAAAGAACTGGATGATCCGCTTTCTAGAGCAAATTCGTAAAATATTAAGGCAGGGTCCTGTTATTCCTATTTTCATTGCAATATTTGTAGCTGCTATCACAGTCAACATGCTGAATGGAATTCTATAACTCGAAATCTGTTTACATTACTATTAACAATATAATACTTGTCAAAATTGAATACGTACAAAATTTAAAATGAAAGTAAAGAAATTATAGTTCATTTTTAGTTTAAACGACTTTGTGCTGTATCATCCAAAGAAGGCGCCTTGTAATGCATGAGTGCCTCATGGGGCAAACGGGTGGAAAGCATCTTAACGGTCATTGTATTAACTGGTGCTTTTTCGTTTTTACCACCATGACTTATTTCTATATTCCCATTATTAGCCTAATATAAATTAGTATGGCATAAACGTTTATGAAAATAATTATGGTATCATGGAGAATAATCTGCATACTTTATGTCTAAATTTAAAACTTGACAACCGACAAACTTATTAAACAAGCCTTTTGCATCGTATCTATAGAAGCTAAAATATTATGTCAGAGTTTTTATTAACCACTTACCAGCTGTAAAGTGGCAGCAAATAACCTACAGATCTCATATGGTTCCTGTATTAATTTGTAACGTAAATTATTGTGTTACCTGTCTAAAATAAAAGCTATAATATTCATATAATGCTACGTAAGTATTTCTCGTCAGTACCTTTTGGCTAACAACGTCTTCGAAGGACACTGCATCGTCGTTTTCTGAATGAAATAAGAAAGTGTTAAAAAACGATTAAGGCTACTTTAATTTTAGTAGAGTATAATAGTATTCGATATGAAAAATTAATTAAACTATAAGTATGTTTTATTATTACTCTCTTTTAGAGAGTCCAACACCGATTGACCATACGTATGGATATCAAATGGAGGATGTTTTTCTTCATTTTCAAGAGCAGGCTTAATTCTGTCTTGCCATTCGTTAACGCGAGATCTTAACGCAGAATCCTCTATATACTGGCGTGTTACCTTGGCATATACGTTCTAAAATAACAAATATGTAGCTTTTCAATCTTATACTCTATCAGTTTAGACAATGAATAGCAACCCATTCTCTAAAATAATCATAAAAGTTACAATACCAAGTGCTCCTTTACAAGCTCTTCGTAAGTTTGCGGTATTTGATTTTCAAGGTTCTGCTCTTCTATTGCTATGGGAATTAGTTCATTCTTAATAACTATATGCTACTACAGTATATATCATGCACACAAATAATTTCAAATTTTTTATAATACCAATTGGATCAATGCTCATGTTATGTTCATTATTAACTATTTCTTGATCAGGGTTGTAATTATTTTCTATTCCGAAATCATCCTGATCGCTATAATCATCATCATAACCACCTATAGGTAGAATCGTGAAATAGTAGAGATTTAGATAAAATGTTAGCCAACCTAGTACACTTAGTTATTTCCTAGATAATGATACGTCGTATACAATACTTCATTACCGTCAATATTATTCTCCTGATCATCATGTTTATCATGATCATCGCTATCTTGCCCGTTTGAGGTCATAAATTTCTAATGTGAATTTAAAAGATGTACAGACAAAACTGATGTCATAAGGCATACAGATTACAAGAAAGGTACCAAATTATTGATGTGAGATATATTTGTACGTATTAGTGTAAACTTACGAATAATTTGTTAATTTCTCTACTCAAGATATGCTGATTTTCTGCAAACTCGTAACTTATATATTCCAAATCTAACAACATACACGATATATGTTTAGTATGTGTCTAGTTAACTATAACATGTATGGAATAATTTTAGTTTAATGCTGTGATAGTAGATCCAATTTATTGCAGATACAGTACGAGTAAAATTACCTTCACATATAACATTCATCGCATGCTTCAGTAGTTTTTGGTTTTGCCTAGTACAAGCTAAAATAACCACCAAATAAGCAGCAATATCAAGTTTTGTCCTCATCCTACTAATAGATACATTGCAAGTATAAAAAAATGGTTGATCTAAATACAGTAGCTTACCAGCCCTGCTACAGAACTCTATAATGGATATGCCAGGTTGATTGCTTGTAATACTAATTTGTCCACGCTTTCGCTTACGAATGGCCTGGGTATCTATAGCAATATTTTTAGGTATGCGCCAATTTCGGCCTGTATCATAAGTAGTAATAGATTAATTGTTATGGAAAGCGGTATATCAGTATAGTGATTTCACGTATTTGATATTTAAATGTGCTAGCTTACTGGCTTTGAATGCTCTTTCTGGAATGGCATCTTTGTCATGCGGATCGAGAACTTGCCATGCACTATCTTCAACGATAGGTTCTTGCTGTTATAAATGAACAGTAAAGTTTATCCGATTAAGTTTACATCAAAAGCAATAAAGTTTAAAACGTAACCAAAATTATATTCAGCTTATATTAAATCATCTACGAACTTCTATTGCCGGGTGTAGATCGTCCCTGAGTGTATCGTTAATTCCTCCGTTAAAAGTATTGTCATCGGAATTGAAACCTTATTTTAAACAACAGATACACGATAAGTTTAATTAAATAAAAAAGTTTTAACTAACGCAGTACATGCCATCATTCATTAATACTAATAAATACCATCATTTTCGGGTATATCTTCATTCTCACCAGATATGAAGCTCTCATCTAACGCAAAATATTAAAATCTTACGTAATGGATTTACTCATATATAACCATATATATACATTAATTTATACTTGAAGAACATCTTGCATAAATCTGTTACTAAGTAAGTTATGTAATGAAAAAATGTAGAATTCAATATAATTACTATTGTGGGTGGTAAATGGCATGATATTATTGTGACCACCATCATTTGCTAAGGTGAAGGCGTTCCTGTTGGCACGTGGCTGGAAGCTAGTATCAATAAGTAAAGCTCCAGAATGATGAATCACAGATGTATTGACTCTAAAATCTCCACGATTTCCCAGTACTTCTCCTCTACCACTGTTTACAATATTTCATTCAGATATAGAAAATTGAAAGGAAATAAGTTAATATTTCCTAGGTATGTATCATACAAATGTGATTTACAGTTAAGGATATAAAAAGCACCTACAGAAAGTGATAATTTTAAAAATAAATATTTTAAATTCTTTCACTTATACGTAGGTAGTTGATACCTTAGTAATTGAACATCACTTTGTCTTTTATGATTATCCGTCGGTAGTAATGATACAGGTGTTCGAAGACAAATATATGATGAAGTCCGATTTTCGAAATCTTCTTCTATCAGATCAATGTTGTTAGCCTCTTTGATATCATCTAATGAAATGAACTAAAAGAGAGACATTGACCCAAGATTATTTCAACTACAATGATACTAATTAATTTAATAAGATATTGATGCATTGATTAAGCAAAACTTGACGACGTTATCTTCAAAATATAATGATGATCGAGTTTTGAAAAGATAAGAATGAAATTTAGACAAGTATACGTACATACGTATATACGTATACAGTACTGTAATATAAATAATTTTCATGATTAAAAAGTTTTAACGTATAATTATTATTATACCTGCTCTTCTTGATTAAGCTTATGAAATGTAACATCCACATCTTTTCCTTCATCATCAACTGATGCTGGTTGTTTCTGACGTCTACATTGGTAATAATAATAGGTGCAAATGGTGTTAGAGTTACTGTATCGTTAGGGAAATGATTCATTTGTTAACTATGTGGAGTTTAAGAATTATAATTGCATTATACATACACACGACTATACTTATTACTTACTGTTTTTCAGCTATTAAATCAAGCGTTTGATAGACTAAAGTGTACAAGTATTCGATCTGGAAAGTAAGAATACATAGTCATCTCTTACATGACTGAATATTTAGAATAATTTTACATCTTATAATGCAGAGTACTACAGAGTTGATATCATGTCTAAGTTAAAGTAAGCAATTTTGAAATACAACGAATATTAGAAATGATCACAAAAGTAGTCATGTTATTATAGCGAAATATAATCATGAAATAATCATACATACATACTGTACAAGTTAACATTAAATTAGCATTCTGTACACAATACTTCCAATGAGAAAATTTTATTGCAATATTTCATTTGCTTGGCTACGTACCTTCCTACTGTATACGCTCGCTGAACCTTGAATTAATAGCGCAGCTTCGGCAAAATTTAAAAATGTTGTGCCTCCATCAAAAGTGAAGGTAATTTGTTCAAGCTATAGCATGATATGGAATAATTGAAATTAGAAAAGTTTGAATCCTGTACGACAATCCTATCGAATAGCACTTTCCATCATTAAAGTCAACTAGACTAAATAATATAACAGTACTTGTCATTTTAACCAACAACGGATGGCTACGTTTATCAGCAAAGGTAATAACATAATAAGGAATGTAAAGTCACGGTCATAATTGATCATTGATTGATAATCACCTCATCTAAGTACTCTTCCAATTGTTTGGCAACATCGACTTCCCAATTTTTAGCAAGATCACGAATGGGTTGTAATAAATAGGCATAACGGCCATCCTTATCCTCCATGGCTTTCTAAGCTGAATAGCCAACCAATCTTCCAACTAATCTAGATATAATAATGAGACATATTATAGGTCGTGCTTGGATCGTCTTTAAAATCACTGCTGATATACTGGACGTATACTGCAGGTTAAGCAGAACTATATATACAATCAGTCATTTCATTCCTACTTTACTTATCTAGCCTGTACAACCGTGACAGTGACATTTCTATGCATACGTTATTTGAAATTTTATTAAATTGCTATCAAGATTAAACTAGTCAATAGTAAAATGGACATTTGTTCTCTAATCTGTCGATTTGTACTGTATGAACTGTATTATTAAATTATTCCTGTAGTTATTCTTGTATCTATTTGGCATTCTCTGCGTCAAGGGTAACTATTTCAAATCGACTTGCTTGGATCAACCAATTCAAGTCGATGTTCTGGTAACAGCATAAGCACTATTCTAGCATCATTTGAGCATTAAATGACAGTCCACTAAATCATATTCTGGCCTCTGATAAAGACTACCTGAGTACAAAACAAGTCAAATGTTATTTTTTTGCACATTTTTTCTTACTCTCGATAGGATTAGGTTGATCAATTTTTCTTTAATGGATGCTCTTCCACTGGATGTTGGACGTCCAGTGAAATCTCGTCTGTCGTCTATTTGTATATTCCCGCCTTTTTGGTCTGGTGTGGATACAGTATGTAGTACTGTAAATTACAGTGTACAGTACTCCAGCGTACAGTGTATAGTACTCTATGCATTATTAGTAAAACTATCGAAAGTGATCTTTCATGTCTGCACGGTCTAGTGGATAGAGGCATGGCCATTGACCAGGCGCTTCTACTGGTTATACTGTAGAGTTTGTCAGGACAGGACGGGACAGGACACCAGGACCAGAGGGATCAGTAAAAGGAAAGAAAGAGCCAGAGCTCAGGCGCATGGCGTGGCTGACCCTTCATACAGACTGTAGTGTTCGCTGTCACTGGTTAGGGTACGGTCACTAGGATGTGTGAACCTCAGGCCATTACCGCATCTTGGCCAGCATTGCCAGCCATCTTCCTTCGTCTCGAGCCGTGAAAAATTTGAATTATGCCCCGTCGAAGGCAACTTTTTGTAGGCCGACTTCCTCGATCAACGTCATCGCGAGATTTGGAAGATATCTTTTACCGATATGGCAGAATGACCCGATGCGATGTCAAAAGCGGTAAATTTTGTTCCAAGTAAAGTACTGATTGACGGAAATGCAATTGATTTTTTCTGTGACTACTCACTGTAGTGCTCAGTGAACAACCAATTCTTCGTTCGTTTTGGTCATTTATTTTGAAAATGGATGACAGATGAACGGTTCTACAAATATTTCCAACGTTTTATTATCCATTACAAGCTAATAATTTATAGCTAAAATGACAGAGAATGAAAGTTTTAACTGCGCTTCGTAAGGGAACGCTAAAAGAAAATTCTCCTTTTCATAGACTGTACATTAGGTATTCTTTCTTTCTTTGATACGGCGGTGATCAACCACCTCAGCTGAGTCATCTACTCTAATCAATACGAATACTAGGTTGCTGTAGTAGTTCATTTGTGACTTTTTTATTTGCATACAGTACACTCACTCAAAATAATAAGGTTGAAATAGTAGTAATCCGATATAAAATTAGCTTGACATATTTCCGACATTGGATACAGTACTGTATACTGTACTCAAATCAAGGACTACGAAAGGAAAAAGACAATGCCAAACACCAATCACTAGTCAATTTTTATGCCATGAGGCAGGTTGTAGTTATTACTAACTTTTAACCAACCATGAGCCAGCTATCATTAATTAACTAGAGTGCTATCCATGCCTATGGTAGACTTTCACTTTGCAAGAAATATTTATAGGAGATTATCTCGAACTTCAGCACAACTTGTATTATTGTACACTAGAGTAGATATTGGAAGCTTGAAATGATGATTTATTTATGCCAACTGTACAAGTCATCGTCACTGTAGTTACTCAAAACATTACTTATGGTGTATACTCTGAAGTGATTTAGCATCTTTAAACATTTCTTGGTCGTTTTACGATAATACGAATGTCCATAAAATACTGAAATTTCACTAAATTCAATGGAGCAATTGAGATTGACATTTATCATTACAAATGTACCCACGAGATGATATCTGATAAGTAAATAATACAGTACAGTTGGATGCCACTTTTGCTTGTCTTTTTGAGTTCTTTATGTCTATTCTTATTGAAAATTTTTATTTTATGGCTAATCTAACAAATTAAAGGATAATAATCTTTTAGAATTTCACTATTTATACAAACTTTCATTCTTGCCGTTGCCGACCTACACTAACTAATTAATCAGATCGATAACGACAAGCCTGTGTAGACGCGAAAGGGTAATATCGTTGGCTAATAATTAACTTAATATCATTTTACCCTATTTATATGTTAATCGAACTATTCCTTCTATCAACCATTTTTTAACTCATGGATTGTGATAAAGGACCTGGGCTAGGTAGGAACGTAAGCCAATTAAATCTACTATATCCAATGTACATTGAGCAGTAATAATTATTATATGTATTGACTGACACCATCGTAAGTGTGTGGCTGTAAACTGATTAAGAAGTTACTGTTATACGCGTCCATATCGAGTCGTTGTCATTGAGTACCTTACTATCAAATACATACTATTCTAGCTTAACTAGTCAGTTATTATCTGCAATGCTGTCTGTATTACATAAGCCAATAGTAAATCAAAATACAATTTCTATGCGCGTGTTGATGTAACCGCTATATTACGGCTTTACTACTGTACTTTACTATGCAGCATATTGTAAAGTACTCTATAGTTTCTAAATTTATTTCCTATCTCTTTAATAGCATATGGCTTTGTCGAATATGAAGATCCGCGCGATGCTGAGGTAAATAAGACCCTGCACACTAGGGGAAGTAAAATGTTACGTGATTGTATCTAACGCAATTGCCAACATTAATGCTATGAGATCACATTAACCAAGTAAAATTGTTTTAGAGCGAATAGCAATTTAAATGCAATATCATGGTATAGCTATATATGCTCAAGGTGGCAATAATTGGTGGCTTATTTATTTTCTGCTAAATACGGGCATTATAAGAAATGTTAGAAATTGTAGCATAGAATGCTCTACTTGTGTTAAATTAGTAAGCTTCTTTTTATAGCGTAATTTCGTTAATAGAGTTACAATAGATGGCTTAGTTAGATGGTATAGCTTTTAACTATTTTACCGAGAATTCTTCGCTGGCATTAGACAGCTTGTATTTACGTTTACGCTAGTTTACGCGTAAACGGTAGTACAAATGGGACTGTTCCATGATTTCAATTCGTATTCATCTAATCTCAAGTATGATAATATATTGTATAGCACTTTCATACATTTCGCAGTGCTTAAAATGAAATTGGATGATAAATTGAGTCAGAACAAAGATAAAATACTATGGTAATGTCAATAAGAATAGGTATGATGATTCTATTATACGAGTAATTATACAGCTACCATCACTACTTTTACGGCCAACTATTGTAGCAGGTGAAGTCATTGATGAAGCTAATGCTGATTAGACTATATAAAAGTTAACAGTAAAATACTGCTTATGAATTAGTACAGTAAATATCAACAATCAACTACTATACAAATTGTAATACTTGCTTGTTTTAGTACTAATATTAATTGTATTTTTTACATAAAATGCTAAAACTTACCAATTATATTACAGAGTACAGCGATTTCAGACAATATTACAGAAATGAAGATCTTCATATGCTTAACAGATCTTATCGCATACACCAAACAGAGTTACTTTCTAACTTAACCACGGCTCGCTAGCTTTGCCTTAATACTTCAGAGTCTTTAATTGCTTTCGCTAAAATAAGCTTAACATCGTATTATATAATTTTGACTCGGTAATACAGAATTATAGTTGCCATATAAAGCAATGGTAGGATATGATCGTGCAGTCTTGTACTTTTTCTCAGCAAGTTCGGACTTTCTCTTGTCTGAAATATTTTGTAGATTGATTATTAGTTGCTTACCAATTACTAACTAGTAATATATTTGATTTATCAGTCTGACATCGTTGGCTTTCAGTAAAAGTACTACATACATATCTATGGCATAAATAAAATATTGTTTGGCAACATACGTGTACAGCTAGATTTGCGAGATCAAACAGCTGCAGTACAAGAAATTACTGTAATATCAGCATTTGACAAAGTGCTAGTAGATTGTCATCTCATGATAACTTTCTGTATTGATGTTAGTGTTTTAAAGTGATTACTAGTAAACGATGCTGTAATGTAAATATTCTTGACATAGTAACATAGATACTGAGATTGCGGTGCTATTCTTTGCCATAAATGTCTTGAATTAAGATTAGCCTTTCTCTGTCGTTATCATTGCCAAGACAGTCCTTCCTATGCCGTTGCCTTTATGCCTCCTACATTGCCTAATACCAGCCTTCTCCTTAACTACAACTTATAAATCCACTGACAAGTTAGCTTTATTCATGCATTTTACAGATTACTGGTGCAATATCCGAACCGTGCGGTATTTTTAGTAACATTGTGCATGTTTTTTGGCAGATGCTTTGAATATCATTTACTGCTTTCATTGTATTCGTATACTGTATTTGATTTATCCGTGTCAATATATTCTCAATTAAAAATAGATGTCGATTAGTCTACCGCGACTCTCAAATTTTTCTAAGATTTACTATATAATTACCTCAGTCGGAATCATTTATTGAAGATAGCGACTTAATTTACTTAAAGTATATATTGATATAGTCTTCGTGAATCTCTGGTGACGAAATGGTAAACGCTGAAAAAGCATTGATGATGTTGTCTAATATTCTTTATCCTGTCTTTATTGCATCCCTGATTCTTATATGATATCACTTATACACTGCAGAGAAATTGCTTTCTTAATAAGAATTTGGGATTTTTATATAGGATGCGATGCACTATGAACATGGGAGAGATGTTGGTGGGTCTCGAATAGTAGTCGAATGGACAAGGAGTAGAGAAGTAAGTTGCTTTCTTTTAGATACACATACGCATACTGTACTTTTGCTAATATAGAGCAATTGCTGTAAATACTTTCATATATTTAATTCTGTCATGCTATTACTTCATAACACGGGTTCTTATTATGCGTATTGACAGGATTATTCATCTGATAGGCGATCACCTCGTAAGTAATCTTATTTTAAAACTAGTATAGCTATCCTTTACTGCAGCCAGTACAATTTGAAGAATGATCTTCTAAAGTTTTAATTAGCTTTGACATGTTTTTTATTACTCTTTGTTAGGTTCATATCGGCGTCGGTACGTGTTGGTTGATACCAATATCGCGTTAATAAAATTTAAATTCTTGATAATTTCGTTACAGTCTTTACTATAGCTTACGATTGATAAGTATGTTATCTTTTAAATTTTATAATAATATTTTAAATTTTAAATTTTTATCTCTTTATTAGGTCTCCTTCACCTTTTGCAAGGTAATGCCTGATACTATTTTTGATATCGTGTCATGGTAAATGGCTATCTAACGTAATGCATGATATTATAAATATGCATATTTATAGGAGAAGATCTCGTACCCGATCTCGCTCTAGAGATCGTAGAAGATCATATTCTAGATCTAGATCTGGAAGTTCTGACCGTTATGACTCTAGGAAAAAGAATAGTTCCAGAAGGGACAGGTATGATCACCTTGAATTGATCTCATTACAGTATTGATAACTTAAAGAATGCGTAAAATAAAACGGAGTGTCATTTCCCTTTCTCTGACTAAAGATTAATTTGATTGCTTTTCAATCTCTAGATCTTTGACGCCACAACGCCGAAGGTAGTCCTGTTTTCATTATAATATATTTTCTATTACGTTTGGTAATCATTTCCATAATTTTTAATGTAGGAGACATTCCCGATCGAGATCTCGCTCTAGTTCTGATAGGGATAGTAGAAGGAAAGAAAGTGACAGAAGAGAGAGGTTAGTTGCATGTTTTCTAGCAATGCAAATTCGAACTGATTTTGTGATGTACGTTTTGATATCACTACTATGTTAACTCATTTAGATCAAGAAGTGAGAGAGGATCTGCTAAGAAAAATTCTGGATCTCGATCTAAATCCAGGTAATGTACGAAATTTTTTCTGAATTCCTGCAACATAACGTAATAATAAGCTACAGCACAATTCTTCTCATTCCTATTTTGAGCTGTTATCCTGCAATAGATTAACCGTAATAAATTTTTGTATTTGATATTATGTGCTTTATATTTATCAGATCAAGATCTAGCTCGAAATCAAAGTCTAGGTAATACTTGCAGATAATTCAGTCTTTCCTTCATTTTTCAATTATTAATGCAATATCCTTAGCTAATCTCCTTCCGTTTAGATCTAGATCGCCTTCGCCGAAGCGATATTCAAGGTAGGATCGATCGATCAATGCAGTTTATAGATTAACTGACCAGCTATAATGATCTAAGGTCTGGATCATGCGCGTTCGAAAGTTTCTTTGAGTAATACCTTACTTTATCAATTTATTTAGGTCGCGATCTCGAAGCCCACCTTCTCGCTCGCGTTCAGCATCACGGTACTGGATTAATTATTGTATTTAAAAATTTTTTATCGTTATGGTCTTATCAATTGTAACGTACAGTTTCTGCGATATTGATTATTATAATACTGTTTGTATTATAATTATAAGGGAACGCCGCAGTCGAAGTGTGTCAAAGGATTCTAGATCCGATCATTAAGACAAGCACTTGTAACAATCGTACAATTTGGATGACTTATGAATACACCTGTTCCATACCCGCCTGTAGATGATTATTAACCGAAAATATTAGCAGAAAGTTTCGAATTTCTGATATATGGGTAGTATTTAACCACTGTTACGAGACCTCGCTAAATGCTATAAATATGTGTTTCCTGACACATAATGTGGTTCTTAATATTTTATGATGGATTTTATATGATTGCCCTTTAATTATGAAAAGCGTTGTATTACGATCTTTCAGTTAAAATAGTAGTTGAGTCTTTAATTTAAACTTAATGTTACACAGAAGCAGAAGGTACTGCAATGAGATGATTGTTTAGGTCATTCAAGGTAAAGATTGGACCTTATTTATGTCGACCTTGTAAGATTGCAGGGTAGATGTGGATAATTAAGGATCATAATACCGATGTATATCCCTAGTTTTTAAGATAATATTAGGCAACTTGCATAACGATCTTATTAGTTGAATAAAAATTTTAAGTTCTTGAAATGTTCAAGTGGAATAGCGATTTACTCGATCCATATGAAATATTATAAAAAATTGAGAGATTCTAATAAGGTTGAAATCTTGTAATGTGTTGACGTAAGGTGATTTAACTTACTCAACTTCTACTTAACATATATGCATATATAAGGAATGGGTCGTAGCATGCATTGCCAAGGTATTAGATTACAGTATGAGTCATATGCAATTCTTTATTACAATTACGGTACTGTACTGTATATTTAGATTTGAAAAGGCATTTACATACCCACCTACTGTATATAATAGGAAATTGTGTACAAATAACATCCTTATGAAGAATGAATACTAGCGATCTTGAGATGATGTCAGCAATAGGTACTAAGTAAAGTATTGTAAAGCTGTAGGTTGATAAAAGCAGGACTTGTTCAAAATCTAAAAAGAACCACAGTACTATACGGTCTAATTTTTATATCTTGTTTCTCTTTAAAATTTTATTAATTCCAGTAAGCACCGCTCATTTGCGTACGATATCAAACTGTACAGTACTAGGCAGTAGGCACTCACCTCTATTATTAGATTGCTATTATGAGCCGGTAAATAAGAGTGAAATTGATCATTTAGTTGCCTATTGGTAAACTATTGCTCATGAAACCTAGGCCATGGCTGCAAACTAATTAATTCCAGGATGGAATGCATGTACATTGTACAGCTGTAATGGAAATATGGAAATAGAATCTAGTACGCGCAATATGAGAAGCTGCTGCTGACTCAAGGTTTGGAAGCAATCTCAAGCCAGTAGCGTAGGTGAGTTAACGCGGTAGTCGGAATCTATTACTGACAGAGTACTATACCCTACACAACCCTACGGTATGTTACTAGTTCAGTGTATTGTACAAATACTCGACAGTCACAGTTGCTGTCTGTCGGTAGCCGGTGGGCTTTACCACTCTCGAGTCTGGACGGCGATCACGTTAAGGTTTAGGAGGTTGGAGCCTGCTGGAGGATTACTGGGAAAATGGCAGACGATCTAATGCAGAAATTTAGTGTGTTAGGCACTACAGATCATGATATACTCATCAAGCAATTGCAAGAATACTTAAACTACCAGTTGAGTCCTTCTGGATGTGAATTCTTCTTGGATATGAATAACTGGTAAGGCATAGAAGCAGAGTAATCGTAATCGCCGATCCGATCGGCTTAGCACGCGCTGTACGTAAGAAGTTATAACAGTAGTACTATGGACTATTGTACAATTAGCATGCACAAAGGTTGTGTCTTGATTCTATATGCAATCCAATGATTTAGAAAGATACTATAGTTGTTGATCACAGTTTTAATAATGATAGAATCCAATCCGATCGTATATTATATGCCCATAGTCATCATTTTGATCAGTTCTATCCTAAAATGATGATCAACATACCGTATAGTTTCTTTTCTTTTGGTTACTATGCAAAATTGATATGTCATCAAGAGTCATCATTTTAAAAAGTTCGATTTCGAGCTTAGTTTATTTCCATTGGCTCGATATGCTAATCTATATCATCTAATACTGTACGTTTGATCTTTCTTTTTTTAGGAATTTACAGGTAATTCTTTAATCGATTCGGCTATAGACATTGAAATTGACACGATTGACTCTTACGCAATATAATAACAAGAGAAAAAAATCTATCTTTCAAAAAATGAATCGACAAGACTTAAGTTGCACGGTTCATTTCCGGATTATTGTAAAACATTTCCTAGCCCTGCAGTATTGTATGCTTAGACTGCTGTTATGACTGCATTTTTTAGTACTACTTGCTGCTATTTCAGTTTTAATGTTATTATCACTATACCGTACCTAATGTTGGAATTGGTATGCTGTAACGACGTAAATTGCTTGTTAGGAAGTACGTTCTGTAGATTCCAACTCTTTTCTTTATCCCACGTACAACTATAGTTGGCTTTAGGATCTTATTTTGATTATAATGCTCCAACTGAGTATTTGCCATCAATGACGTTTATTCAAGACGTAACTATTGGTGAAGGGGAATCTGTTCAACCAAACACTCAATTTGTTAAGACGTGGCGGATTCAAAATTCAGGTTCAAACTATTTTTACTTAAGATATAATAGCTACCATCTACTTTTAATTTAGAAGAGACAGTAGGGCATTACGCAAATAGATAGTACAGCATTTTACTAGTACTTATTGTTTTAATCTGGTATTCCTAAGTCATATCCATACTCTCGTTAAGGATTGTTGTCATTCTCTATTTTCAATTACTGAGCAAAGTCCACACTAGCTCAAGTTCTTGCCACTCGTAGCATCGCTATTTCAATAATAAATTATATAAGGGAATAAACGATATAAATTACGATTGCTTATTAAATAATAACTCCTCGATGCTAATAATTATAATGAATATGGATGCAGCTTAAGATTAATTTTGTTTTATTATCATTTTATTTAATATTGTAGGTCAGAAAAGGTGGCCAGATTCGGTTAGACTAAGGTTTATTGGAGGTGATCAGTTAGGACCTTCCCATGAAGTTCGTGTACAGTCACATGATGCACAAGAGATAGGAGATGTTAGCGTAGTTATGATTTCACCCAATCAACCAGGAACATTTCAGGGTCGTTGGAGAATGGCAACACAAGAAGGTCTCTTTTTTGGAGGTAAATACATGTATATTTTATGCTTTTTTTAAGTGGCAGCTCATTGCGATATATCACCTTCTAAACTAAACATTCTCGTTTGATTTGGATAAAAATTCAGACATCATTTGGGTCATCATTAGCGTCGAAAATTCAGGTTTATTGGGTCTAACGCAGCAGTTATCTTACATTAATACAAGGGATAATGGAGAGACAACAATGGAACATCACGATACTACAGATTTTAATCCCTTTGGTCGTGTTGGAGCCACTTCGACAGAAGCAGTTTTTAGTCAGCAAGCTTCATCATCATATCCTACCTTAATAAAACCCCAATCACTTCCGGATGAAGACGTTAGTAGTACTATACCTAATGAGAGATTCTATTATTATATTAAATAAGCAATTTTTTGTATCTATAATATTGGACTGCTAAAATATCATCCAGAAACTAGTTTATAAAGGAATTTAACATGTTAATTATAACTTGGATATCATAGTCACCGCTTAGAATAACGGTGACGATCTACTCCTACATCGAGATTGAACATAAACTCTAATAATTCTTTGATTACTGTAGATTTCAGCGGATGTGGATGAACATGAAGAAATGAAGTAAACTGTTCACAATGGGAGCATCATTCTATGCAGTCTTACCATTTTCGTTCCCATATGGAATTGCAATGTATTTAATAACGTATCCAATTTTTTTATGAGAATATATTAACTGTAGTATCCTTTTAATAGAAATGATGAATGAGAGTCATTATTATCAATGATGTAGCAAATAAGTTATTTATTACAAATACCGAACATAAGTAGCAGCTTTCCATCACCAATTTTGTACAGTGCCTAACCATTTGCTAAGCCAATCTTTCTTAAATAACATTTTTGCAAGGGTTTATAATTAATTTGTAATGTGAAATATATCGCATCAAATCAGCAGACTATAATATTCAGTTCAATTTTACGTTTTATATATATGTATATATGAAAGTGATTGATATCTACTAAAGTCAAGAATAAGAGTTCTATGTTAGGATTTATTGCTGTATTGTATGTGTAAGAGCCTAGTTACTGTATTTCTTGTGTTATAATTTACTAGCTTTGCGAAAGATATTATACTTGGCGCATAAGATTTTTTCTTAAATTCATGAATACTGTATCTCGAAATTTATGCTTTGAAGATACAAATATCTTGCTATTGATGCTGCATCTCAGTTGAAAATATGCTTGTTCAAATTTGTTAGTGTATAGTGTATTGATTTGCAATTTTTTGTAGCAGCTTGGCAGATTACTGTACTTGTGCCTATCGTAAAGTTTTTGAAAGCGATCGCCCGTTGTATTGTATTATTAGGGCAGTACGGTTAAAAACTATTTTCCTTACAAGCCTTAAATATGTAATGTACTAAAAAATTAACTCTGAAAAGAACCAGTCTAAATCTGATTGAATGATCATTAACAAATAATAAAGATGTAAATCTGTTATGGAATATAAATTCGATTGTCTTCATCTTGCATTATAAATCCCTATTTAGACTGAAATTAGCTATTTGATGAGACAGATCGTTGCAAATACTAATAGATTATTATAGCGCAGTTGTGTATTGCAGCCGTTAATTGATATTCTGTAACAGGTTTTATCACAGACTCGAGGCTGACGTATATAAATTCAATTTCAAAATCATACCCGTTAGTTGAATTCCTTATCTAATAAATTATGTAAAATGATAGTAATATAAACACCATTATTATATAGTTAAATAGAGTATAATTATTTATAGTAAAAGCGTAATGAATCTAAAGGAGCACATTTATGTATATCTTTGATGCTTACAATCTGTTTTCATCATTTTCGGGACAGAAAATAGCACAACGAAGTTTGGCTGATCTAGCTCTAGAATTATGAGCTATCTCTTCTGGGCTTGGATAAATTGGTTTTTTACAAATAAGTTTCCAAGGGCTATTTCTCTTTATGATTGATTTTGATTCGATCTTTGATTTACCTTCCTCACTTAAACGAGCATACTGCTTTGAAGAAGTTGGGCTACTCCGAGATGTAAAATCTGGTCGATCTTCGCCGTTGAAGAATTTTTTTACAATTCGATCTTCAAGTGAATGAAAACTGATAACTATTAATCTTCCTCCATTTTTGAGTAATGCTTTACAAGCATTCAAGCCCTGAACTAACTGCCATAATTCATCATTGATTAAGATTCTAATTGCTTGAAACGTTCTTGTGGCTGGATGGATTTGGCCATCTTTACGATATTTGTAAGGGAATTGTCGATCAATAATGTCAACCAAATGGTCTGTTGTAGTGATAGGTTGTTTTTTCCTAGCTTTAATAATAGCTGTAGCAATTGCTCGTGCTTTCCTTTCTTCTCCATAGTTCCACAAGACATCAGCTAAATCTTCTTTATCGATATTATTAATTACATGAGCAGCAGTGATACGATGTTGGTGCTCTTTCAATCCAATATAACTACCCTGTCGATAGCATGTAATAAGTGATCTTTTCTCTGTCTTGCTACTGCCTATTTCATCCGATGTAGCATCCATCCTCATATCGAGTGGACCACTAGATTGAAATGAAAATCCTCGTAGTGGATCATCAATTTGCATGGAAGACATACCTAAATCGAAAATGATGCCATCCATTGAATTAGGAGGTAATTTTTCTTGAGCTAATAATTTGTTTTCCATTTGACCAAAGCGACACTGTACAACTTTTAAGCGTTGTATCCAATTTGATGTTGTCGATGCAAGTTGTTTAGCTCGAGCAATTGCTAAAGGATCAGTATCGATCGCATAAATCTGACAGTCAGTAGCTGCTTTGAGGATAGCGGAGGTATGACCACCTCCACCAAAAGTTGCATCGATATAGCTTTGTCCATTAGCTGGTGCTAGTAATTTGACTACAGTATCAAGTAGGACAGGCTGATGTTTCAAGACAGAGCAGTGCCTGATATGATTATTATCATATGCGTACCTGTAACTTGTTAAGGTATGACGAAAACGCCAGTAGCATTTCATATCGAAGTGATGAAGAAGAAGCAGAAGATAGAGCTAAGGAGTTAGAAAGTAAAAATATACTTTATGATCATACAGCAGGTATCTACATCATTTACAATGGACAGTCTTATGCATAATCTACAAGGAAGTAACAGAAACTACTTACCAATTCAACTTAAGCTATACTTCTATTCATTGATATCCTTAATGTAGAAGTAGAGCTGGAAATAGGAATCGCTACCAACACCTGAGCTCCTCCAGTTGCCTCTATTTTTTGAGCTGGAAAAGACAGTCGCTTTGCTTTACCCTGCACTTGTTAGACCAATAACTGTATGAATCGGTTCAGCTGATTCAGTACCAACTGATCAATACTACCAGTAGTTACGATGATAAAATCGAATATTTTGTTGATATTTATCGTTGCAGAGACAATTAGTATCTTGGTTTTGCTTGTGATTTGCAGCTAGCCTGTTGCCCTGTTGCAGAGTTCGACCTGACAAGCGCCGGTGATACTTACTCACTATAGAATGCCAAGCTCTGTATTGAACAGTCTACTACCATACTGTATGCGATTTGCTTCTCGATACTATAGTAGGATTAGGGCGAGTCCGTCTCCTTGACGACGGCAAACGTTGGGTATAAGATAATCGAGCTGCTAAAACTTGAGTAAATTTCGTTATTCCGTTACTCATGTTTGCGTAGCGATACTCATGATCGTTGGATTTAGCCAGAGGCCAAAATTCAAATCCAGCGGTAAAATCAAGGCTCTCCAGTATCCAGTCTAGCTCTCAGTATCGTGTTCCGAACGTGAGCTGCTGTCTATACTACAGCTGTAGTCGAATGCAAGGTTAGTTTGCTAAGGCTAAAATCGACCCTAGCTAGGCAAGATTCCCAACTATCCTTCTACGAAACTCTTCTTCTTGCAGACCATTTTGCAGAGATGCAAGCTATTATCAAGGTAGATCCTGTCGAACGCCTTCAAGCCGAGCATAGAATATGGAAAATTTCTCATCCAAAGGTCGGTGATCCATCCATCAATTAGTATTCTCGTGTATGCAGGATAGTCAGGTCGTCATGGAGAGAAATTGAAGTGGAAACAGTGTGAGAACTTGCTGCAAATAGTCCATTACATTATGCCAAGATAATATTTCGAAGAGAATTGCCTATAAACTACCATGGCTAATATAGTGTGTTGCAGCTCTTCCCCTTTGTAATAGAAGACTAGTTAGTATTGATGCGAGATAGAGAAAGAATTCAAAGATTTATTAAATGAATGCATGTAGCACTCCTAGTTGTTAGTTTGCAATAAACGATAAGTTAGTGGTAGTATTGATAATAGCTTGCTCATAAGGTAAATAAATAAATTCAAGATGATAGTAAATGTCGACGTGTTTAGCGATCGCTAGCATGGTGATAACCCTTTCACCGTAAAGAGTAATGCTGATCTGTTATCGTGCTATAAATACAATCCATGGTATTCACTATTTTTCTCCATTCTATTATTCGTCATGATAGGATTTCGAAGCCGATCCTATGATTGCTAGCGATGGCAGTGAAGACTGGCTTACGTGGCTGTGTGGTAAGAAAATTGAGCAAATCAAAATTATAGTTAATCTTACGTATTTAGATAGATCAATGACTGACGTAGAATTCTTAGCCATCAAACTAGTGTATAAAAATGATGAAACATGATAATAGAAAGATTATGCTCTCAATTTATTCTTCGATGCTTTTAACATTTATTAATTATTATTATCTTACAGTTATCCCGGGACCAACCAAGGTATCGCCGAAATCAAGCAATCATCATCACTTTGTCTAACTACTCTTTCAATTTTGTATATGTGTTCTGTGCCGAGTCTTATGAATTTTTAATATATAGTTTTATCAGTAGTTATAGAGTATTACTTACCTGATTAGGCTTTCTCCTATTTGTTTATAACTTATGACTGCACTACTAGACTTGTTGGGAAAATGGCCGCTTTAGATTAATGATTTACTATCCTAAGGATTATCCGGATAAACCACCAAAATGTCAGTTAATATCTAAATTTTTCATCACTTGATACACTCTAATTTCACGTTGAATACCATGCGTGTATTCCCCTGTTTACTCAATTTTACGATTATTATGATATTTAGGTCAATTTCAGCCTCCACTGTTTCATCCTAACATATTCCTTTCCGGAACTGTAGCACTATCAATCTTGGAAGAAGACTGGAAACCAACGCTGACTATCAAGGATGTAATGCCTAAAATTTGTCATGAAATATTCAATTATAAATCATGTGCTTTATTTTGTAATAGCCCATCTTCGATAATTGAAGTAGTACGAAGAGTTCTGCTCTAATCAGCACACAGTACTTATGTCTCTCCATGAGTCATAGCACGTTGGAACGAAATTTTCCAAACTCTGATACACTGCTTAACTATTGATCGAACTTAAATCTATTAGATTCTACCTGGGATTCAGATGTTACTGAAAGAACCCAATATGAACAACCCTGCCCATGCTATGGCTTACACACTGCACAAGTAAGTAATCTCTTGTGTCTGTGTCTATTGTTGATATTATTAAATCAAACACATTTAATAACTGAAAAGACAGAGTATACCACTAGGTTACAAGTAATTCGCACAGTAACAATCTTTTGGCATTTAATGATTTTATAGATTTCTATTGAAATATCATGCTATAGTTCTTAAATTATACGCTAATACCTATTTAACTACAACGATGAAAATGTCTTATAGGACTTCTCTCTTTGAATATAACAATCGAATTCGGCAGCAGGTAGCGAAAAGTATCCAAAATAATTCGTGGCGGTACTAATAACAACTTGTAAAATTTTTTGTATAAAGTTCGACAATAAAGGAAATAAAAAAATTCACTCTTTATTGGACACTTATGTACTACAGAGATTGTTTCATTAAGGTAGAATGATAGAAATATCTGTTCTTATTTCATAAATATTTGATCCATTGCACTGTAACTGCCAAGGCTGTAAACATTATCCATAATATAGTTGGCATACCATGCAAAAAGCGTCATTATCACCATTGCTTTATAATTTGTCAGACGTTAACCAAGTAACCAATTGACACAAGCAGCAAATGATACAATAATGTTGTTTTTCCATTTTTAACATTTAATGTGAAGATAATCTGAATATGTAACAAGAATTTAGTTTATACAGTACACGTCATTTGAAATTCAGTTAAAAATGTTAAATTATGGTTCAAATCATTTTCCTTCAGCAATGATCCCTATTTAAATAAAATATTAGCTTAAGATTCAAAACAGAGAAGTAAGATTATTTGCTGAAACGATGAAAAAGGAATTTCTATATACTATTTACCAACCTTCGTTAGCAGTTAGCTTTTTCCGCCTCGTAACGGCTTCATAAATCAAAGAACTAAATATGTGTATCATCCCAGATGTCGCAAAAATGCCACCCACTATCCCGCATAGTCTAATCAAAAGTTGACCAAATGGCACTCGTGCTTCAGTAACTTGAACAGAAATTGGAGATAAATCATACTTGAAGAAAAGACCTGTAGGTATTAAAGTCGGAAAACATTCATTTCAAGAATGGATAGAGACTGAAAATATTAAAATATGCGGTATCAAAGTTGTAAATTCTATTACCAGACACCCCGTGTTTGCCATTCATGTGGTCTACTTTTGAGAACTTGAAGAGTAAAACAATCGTTAAATTAGAAAATCTGTCATTAATGAATGTCTTTCCAATGTAACAAAACTGGAAAGGTATCCTTGGCAATAAAGTACAATATCTTGAGAACTTACGTGTTCTGTTACGGAATACTGATAGGTATCAATGGCAACGGAAAAAGTTTTAACTTTAGTGGGGACAATTTTTATGAAATACTGATACATTTTATCCGCTATAATTAAATGAATTTCAGACAATATTAGCGGAACATTGAGAATACTTCTTGATGACAGTTCGTAATTCATTTCAGTATGTACTATTACAATATATGTAATTATCCTTACTAATTTTAGTGATAAATTCCACACCATCTAGAGGGTTAATGACATTAGGAGCGGCAACTCCAAAAGCCAGTAAATCGATTCGATGTGAGAAATTAACAGCTATTTTAAGAGAAAGATAAATATTAAGTTTAGTAGAGTTTCTGACGAAAGAAATGGTACCAAATTAATTTTTCAAGCGTCTCAAGTGTTAAATGTTTATCAATTACTAACATTCCCTTGGTACAAGATCCGATACATGTGCGTGACCCATTGGATGATTTATTGACCTTTGCAAAAGAATTTATCCATTAAAGATTTATCTGAATACATTCATAATCTGTATAGAAGCCTTACATTCCTGCCGTGACATGAAAATTACCAGCTACCTATTTTAAATTAGAAATAAGTTCGCATAAAATTACGTAAGCGTTTAGAATTAGTAAACTTATAGAAATCAATTGCTGCTATACAAAACTCCAATGTAATCGACACTGATGTAATTGTTTAGCACAAACGTTAAAACGTATTCTAATCATTCAGCATACTTTATTAAGAGGTATATTTCCATGAATTCTGCAAGCATCTTTCGGCGAATGTGATTCACTAGCACTCCTAGATAATATATTTGCATGTATATATTTACTACATAATAATCTCAGAGCACTTTAGGCTAATCATGGCATCATCACTATTTCTTATTGACTATGCACCATGTCAAAAATATTCGCAGGGACGTGAGAATTTGGTGGAAGAAGGGTAACATTTTTACTCGAGTAGTCCCTGATATTAGTCTACATTTTTGACTGCAATCAGATTGATTACCTTGGAGGCATCGATGAAGCTAATCCAAGAGGATGTTGTAAAATTTTGTTAACTTCTCGATAACTATCTTTGCTACCACGCTTTCTAAGATTGTGAAATTTCCTAATTTTGTATATAAACAAGTTAATTCAACTTCATAAATAGCTAGTTGCAGTATAAAATTACTATAGCAAGTCTGATATAAAAATTCTTACTTCCACCACTTCTTTTGCTCTTTAGTTAGTACGAAATAGGCCTAAAATAAGAATGAGTATTGATCACTTATGTTATGTTGAACCACTCCATTATATACTTATATTATGCAAACATACATCTTCCTTTATTAGCTGCTCACTATCGTCGACCGTGGCAGACGCTAAATCTAAAACATCGGCACCTAAATCTGTAAAAACGCATAAATTCTTTGTAAATACGTGTATGTCTTATTACTTATAATAACAGTCTACCAAACTTTCCGCCCGAAAGTACTGCTAAAGAGTCATCGCTAATAGAATTGAAAGAATTCTTTTCGATTCTATAACGATTTATTAGTATTATTTATCATAGAGATATCACACAGAAAAGCTATCCAACCTCTGCATTTCATTGCAATCGTTAAATCCAAATGTAGCATCATTTTACTAAAAAAAGTCATGTCAAATATATCGAGTAGATAACCATTAGTAAAGGCAATCGTGGTATGGCTAAAGATTAAAGACCTAAACAGTGTTTAGGCTAAGGCTGCAATAAGACTAAAATCGAGAATATGTAAATAATGTAATAGGATAAAGAATTTAGCATACAATACAGTGCATATTTGATAACTCTACAGTCAACGTACGATAGGAAATCCGTTGAATAACCGTAGTGACGTATTGCAATCAACAAGATTTACCTTTGAATATCTTTGTCAACGCTGTAATTATATTTTACCCCAGAAAAGGAATAATCGACCAATTCCATTATAACCATGATGGTAATGAGGAAGAAAGCTGTCACCGATGCTGTAAGAAAATAATATAGGTATTAACAACAGTCACTATATAGTATACAGACTTCTCGGCGAAATCCTTTTAATTTACACGAATTACTATTATTATAATTTAAGAAGTAAATCGCTAAAAGTAAATGTTATACGATACTGCCAGAATAAAACTTTGGCCACGTAATATAATATCTACAAGATCATTAGAAGTAACGCTTTTTATCACTTGTTAGTTGAATAGGTGCTAATCGGTTTGCAAAATGCAGAAGCCATTGCCATGATGCGCTAAGCAGTCCTATCTATTACAAAGGCTAAACTATTAGGGCAAGTCCTTATCATACTATATTATTGTATCACTATTAAATCATAATTACTGAAGTTAAGATAATTCAGCTCTCCCAAATTTCCTATAGATGTAAACTTGGACCAAATGAGGTTCACAAAAAGCATTAACAATAACACTTTTATCGTTTTGTTAATTAAATACGTAAGTGCAAATCGGTTTACAAATATAGAAGCTGTTATTAATATCCATGACGTTTAACATGATGTTTTAATCATCCTGCATTTTCTATGTTGGCATAGACTTTAAAACAGACGTCCACAAGGATATTATTGTACAATCTTTTGTCTACAATGAGGCACAATTGGTACATCCATCCAACCTATCTAATAGAGTATCGCGCTGTTATAGAAAAGCTTGCAATAAACTTCGTCTATCACTAATTTGAGCTAGTTCTTTAATGCGATTTAGTTGTACGCACTAGCTGCTTTAGGCTGCCTTTAACGTTCTTACTGATCCTATTGATTAATATCTTTAGTAAAAAATATTCATATATTATTCTACTTTATATGGACACTTGCACTTACAAGCTACTTGTAGCTCATTTATTAATAATCTACTGGATTTTGACATGGAGACCTCACAGTCTGCATTCTTCTTAACCGGTGATATTGCTAAAGTCTGCAGACTAATTCGATCTGTATATACGAACATTACAAAGTATACATTGGCTAATCACTGTGATAACTTTTTTACGCGTATTTAAAGGTTTTACAATAGCACCTACATACTGATACTCAGTAGTTAAACGTATTGATCAACTCAAGATCGTAATTAACAGCCTATAATCAACATGAATTTGAATGGTAATGTTTACTTTACAACTCTTGGTTAGTACTGCTAAAATGTCCATTTAACGCTATTATCGAAATATTAGTGAGTAACGTTCTTCAGCTGAAAATATCTGTACAATAACTTTCTTTTGCAGGATACTTGTATTTATCTTATTGATCAATTAAAGATCGTAATACTGTCGATAAAGTAACTTGCAGTCTACAAAAGTCTCTTTCTCTAGACTCTCTAGTCTACATTATCCTTATATCAAAGATCCTGTAGAAATCTTGCTTGGCCATATTAATAATATATCGATGTGCGTAGGTAGTATGCGATGGCTAGTAGCATCATAACGTTCAAGTATTTTGTACAGTCTTTTACTTCAAGTAGTATCTACAAGACACTTGTAATTCATTTATTGATTAACTCGAGATTATAACGAATAGCTGAAAGTCTATATTCTCCCTCTCTCTCAATACTAACGACTATAATCACGATTGATCAGTGTAATATTAAATCGTCAAAAAATGGAATCAACTTTGAAAAGCTTCCTATATGTTAACGATCAATTGTACGATCTACTGTACATCAATGAAGGAGAAATGGGGTTAACAACCAACCGATATGGCCAATAAAAGCATCTATTTATTAGACACTGTCTAGACTATACAATCTGAAGCTACTACAGTAAATCAATTATTAAAAATCTGCCCAATAGGACGTTAACTGTCGATTTGCATGTGAATAATGATGTAGCAAATAGAAGGAATACATGTGTAGACAAAAGCCTCCTTCAAACCATATACATAGGGTTGATCAATCGATAATACTACGATACGAGGGCTGTTTCAAAGCTAAAATAATCTATTTTTATGGACATTATACCTGTACCACCACTGGTACTCGATTCCTTGCAGTCTTCGGCAATTTTAGGGAATGCATCGAGTTTTTTCACTTCTTGTAATCGTTCTCGATTTCTCTTTGAAATACGCAGCATTTCTCTTAGCGGATGACTTTGACTTTAGTGGAGAAGGATAAAATTAGCGAGTTTTTCAATCACTCTATTTACTATCAGCACTCAATACACAAAATTTTACTGATCTCTCGATTATCATCAACAGGAAAAGCTCCTTTTTACAGTGATATCTATTAAAATAATCAATATTAGGGTAGTAAAATAATGAAGATGCAGCTCCAACTTTTGGCCTAGGTAATTCAAAATGTCGCCTACTGATTGACATTGAGCAATCGAGTATAGAATGGAGTATACTGTCTCGTACAGCACTAATGCAATCATATTGTTGTTGTATACATAGAGTACGGTCCAAAGTCTGTATGTCTGAGTAATGCATCACGCATGCTTACTTTGAGACTTCTTGCGCAAGCAGCTCGTGAGCTCTGGACCTCTGGACTGCATTTTGCAACGCATTAAAATTGCTCGGATTCAACGGTTAAACTTTTTTAAACTATTAAAACTATAATTAATAGAGAATACATGGAAATGATATCTTGTGTCGAACCAGAAGTGGATGTGATCAAATGGCTGATTGAGCAAATTTGGTCAGTAGTTAATATCTCTGATTTCCAGGGGACAGCAATGATAACTTTAAATTTGTAAGGCAAGACAAAATCATTCTTGTACTGTATATTTATAGTTACGTACAATTAGGAATGATCCAAATTCGAACTTGCCTTCCCATGGCTTAAAGCAGATTGTAAAACAACTGTGCAGTGATAACATGAAAAGGGAAACATTGCCAATGGCCGATAATCTAAAAATAGATTTGATCAGCATTGACACTTAGCTTCCAAAGCAAGACGAAATCAGTCGTGCCCATTTGCATTCTCTTACGCTTACTAATTAATTAATTGTAATCTTTATCATTCACCTAATAAATTGCCCTACCATTGCTTAAAGCACTTGCAAAAGGAAGTAAATAAAGATCTTATAAAAAAATACTATATTGAAATTTGTGTTTTAAATTGTGCTACTGTAGGTTATCATGTTTTTATCTTGTACCATCTCACAATTTCCTTTACCTAATATCATTTCGAATTTATAACCCTTAAAACATGTTCATATCATAGCACTAAGTTGCCATAAAGTAGTTTTGACTATTGACAGCTCAAGTAAACGCCAAAAGTATCTACGGCACACACGCTAATTTGTAATCAAATTATTGTAGATGTCATCTGTAAGAGTGTAATGTAATAGTAATAAAAGTTATAAGATAAGAAATTTAGCCGTTTATCACGAAAATCCTACATTAGATACTCATACGAGTAGGTAATTTTAAATACATTTTAAAGATCTATCGTTAACAAAGATTTAGTATCGATCCACTATTTTCATCATAATCCTTAATATAAGATATCATAAAATTACAATCTTGACTTAATGTTAAAGTACAACTGGAGACATCCAGAGATATATATAAAAGATAAAGCATATTTTTAATCACAGCATGACCTTTCAGCTAAATCTTCAAATAAAACTTAGCTTCATAAACAATTTGAATTTCACAAAATTAATATTGAGTAAAACTAGGTGCAGCCGTTCATGAATTGTTACAGTAAAAAATTATTGTCCATAAATCTTAAATGAAATTACAGTACTTAAAAATTTCGAATGCAATTATATTACAATTTCGTTTCCAATGCTACGCAATTAAATTAAGGAGTAATTACTAAAAAATCTAAATCATAACACAAGTTATGTGCCTTTATACAGTAACATATATATTTATAATTTATCATAAAATTCTAAATACCTATATATAATACAATAGCTAATGGTTACGAGAGAAATGCAGAACTCTTTCTGTACTCCTTATTTTGAAGCTGAGAACGCGTGCAGATTTCCTAATTTACTCAACCCAGATTTTACATAAGCCATGTGTGCTTCAACGTTATCTTCAAATACACTAGTTAATTGAAATAATTAATAAAATAAATTCACTTTTAACAATTAGTCGTCAATAGATTGAGTAAAATTGAATGACGTATTTTCAATACCTAATATTCTCTTGATGTACACTAGATTTTACTTCTTCTATAGTATTGGTTAACGATTTCACTTCAAGGGAATCAAAATCGGAATCCGCTAATGTCTAAATAGAAAACATCTTGTCATCACTAAAATAAGTAGTTCAATATTCTATTTAAATCTTACTTATTTCTTCCTAAAATCACCGACGTTAGCATAATTTAACAATAATAACGTGATTACCTTTATATTTAGCAAAATTGAAGTAAGATTGGTAATTAAATCCACCAATTTATCACTTTCAACCATCTTAGAACTATCGCTTTGAGTATTTAATTCTGAGACGATTTTCGCCGCATCATTTTTGAATGCAGTGGCTGTATTTTCAACAGGGGTCACTGTAGTGTAATCATCCGTCCATTCAGGATCCAGCTGCAATAGGAAAGAAAATTTGCATCAACAAATAGGGAATGACATCAAGAATTATAATTATTGCATTAAAGAACACATTCAATATTTACTTAAAGAAATAATCTAACTCATAATTAATCAATGATTTAATACAAACTTCTTGATAATATTTTTGAACTTCTTCTAAATTGGAATTCAATATCTACAGCATAAAGACTCATTAGGGATGAACAATAATAGCGTATGTAATAAGAAAAAGGTTATAATATTATCAGCCTGAAGCCAACGCGGAAGTACAACATCACAAAATTTTTAAATGAGCATTAAAATAAATTCAGACCTTATTCAAATCTTCTAGTTCAACGACAACATTAGCATAATGGCGTTTAAAATCATTACTCATGGGCTGTTCTTGTGAATTCTGAAATAAAATATAACTCTTAATTCTTATTTCAACAAACCACTACTGCACTTTACGTATAATATAGTTCCTATTAAAAACATACCATTTTTTCTGCCCGGGTATTCAATTCCTTCAGGCGATACACCATCTTTCTCTTACACTCTAGTAATTTATATAAATCGACCTAAAAGAAATTTAAAAAGTTACATAATCGTTAGCTAGGTCAATATATTGTTTTAGATAAAACAATACGCATTCTTACCACCACTTCTAAAAATTTTTGTGGATATCCTCCAATTTCCCCTAAATTAATGAATCATCTTAGTTAGTACAATAATTAACAACTAATTTTACGATGATAATTAGTACATTAATATACATTACTTACCTTCCGGAATCTTAGCATCTAGTCTTCGAATTCTTCAGGAAGTTATATATATACAATGTAAAGACAACAAAGCATAAACTTTTAATCAAGGTCAACATCAAGGTTGATAACTCGTCTTCAATAATGCATACCCATGTTGTGATTCATCATAGATTGAACCGCGAGTCTAATAAATAAAAAAATGCTATCGGTAATCTAGAATATCATCATGCATGTAACATTCGAATAATGGTAATATCCTTACTGGTTGTGTAACGTCAGTATTCAAATTTGGTAGGAGTCTAAATAACAAAAAATTTTGTAAAAATTTATTTCAGTATTATCATTTTCTTACAGTAGCTGTAAAATGCGGAGTCTGCCTGACTGACCTTGGAGGCGTAACGTTGGAGAACAAAGATGATGAACTCCTAGGTCTTTGCTTAGCGACTAAGGACGACTTGAATATAGATTCAACAGGTTCTTCGCTCTATAATTATAATTTCCCAATTACAGCAAGTGTCAATTTGATATTGGAGCCTAAAAATTCTAAACTGTGTAATGTAAACTTCAAATATTTTTATTTGACCCGGTATACTTACTAAAACTTCCGTATCATCAATATAATGCGTACCCAGGCCTAACGTTTTCAAATAATAGTCATATTAGTTTACATCGCTTTTAGAACATTTAACCATCACGAACTTGCTTTTACCAGGTCTGTCAAAAGTAATTCTGTAACGTTTATTAGCTGTATCTACAGCTTCGATCCGTCCAGTGAATAACCCTCGTTGAGGATTTCGTAAGAAAGCTAATCGAATTTTTGAATGAAACAATTAATGAGCAGAAAGGTAAAATATTAAAATTATATGATAAATTTATAAGTCGATAACGAACCAGTAACACTTGTTCCAACAACCAATAATGGTGGAATTTCTTCTGGAAGATCTTTAACAAGTTCAAGATCTATTGTCTGCAATATATCAAGTTAAAAGGCTACTAATAAAAATGATGAAACGATAAAACCACTACAATACAGCAGCGCCACAAAAGCCGTTATATTGTGCATACCTTTTTCTGTTGTAGGGACCTTATTTTTTGCCTCTTATCCTTTAGAACGTTTCTTTCTTCTTCGAAAAATGTGGCCGAGCATCTAATTTAGCATAAAAATTTTACCTTAACATCCCAGTTGTTAAGATCAGTATAAATTACATGAACTCAATCAAACTTATCATCTTTTACCTTCTAGGTCTCCCCATTAATCTTCTTAACAATCCCCACTGGAACCTTGTTAATTTTCTTGTCTGCAAAGTTAAATCATGCGTTATATAATAAATATATCATCTGTGAGTTACAAATTTTAGAAACCTAACCAAGCGCATACCTTCAATCCTGGAAAAGATTCCTTTAAGCATAATACAAATTCACTATCTCCATCAAAGAGAGCCCTATCATAAAAATAGGTAATAAAACTTTTATACCGTTGAAAAATGAAAATATTTATTGTATTACTTTAATAATATAAGCAAATCTAGCTAATACATTATCTATTGAGAATGTTAAATCGAACTATCAGTAATTAAGAAGAACTACACAAAGCTTACTTATCGATATTAGAATAAAACCATTCGTTGTAACACCATTTATGTGCCTTACTCAGCTTGAGTAAATTTTTCAAACTTTTTCCACATGTCTATAGAACACAAATAGGCATGATGTGAATTTATACATGTCTTGCAAATTTAAGAAACTTAAATTATTTACTGTCGTATATGTTGTAGTAGTCATTAACTTTTCTATGAGTTTAACTATCAACTATTAGAAATTGAAAGACATATTACCTGGATAACAGATTTTTTATCAGGCGTTGAATTCACAGACTATTAATAACATAGCAAGTGCATAATTATAAACATATTATATTATTACGTTTGTGTATCTGCCACAATTTATTCAATTATTTAGTTCGAAACTACCACACTACGCGTATGTGTTTACATTCCTTCTTCATTACTAAAAACTGCCGATCTTTCGTCTATTGCAGCAGTAGGATTACATAATTGGATTATAGGAATACATGTAGTGTTTGTAATGCTAATCACAAAAATATAGTAGCCATTTAAGCAGCTACCTATCGCCACGTAATTCAAAGTGCCTATACTATCGTAGACCTTAGCCGATGAATAGATTGGATAATTTATAAAATAATAGTTCAGATAGTTAAGCAACTACATGAATTCGTACAAAGTTCACTTATACGAGCAGTAGCTAAAAGTTACTACAATTACACTCAAATCGGATAACATTAACACTGCCCTGAAGAATTATACCATAGATGCATAATTAGTCAATTATAACGAAAGTATAGCTAGCTGTTATGCAATCGTTAACAATATAATATACAATTAAGAAGGTATTATTAGAAATATAAATTTTCAAAAATGAACAAACCATGTTGACCAACGATCGACGAACCGATCTTCTAAGCTTGCTTTTAGGAGAATTCTGTAATACATGCGCAGTTTATTACTCAAACGGTAATCAGCTCAAGCGATAAAATAACTAAGAATCTTATAGCAAATGAGAAATAATTTTGTATTTATAGTTAAAGAATAAGTATATACGTTTTCGCTAAACACCATAGTTACAACATATATCTGAGACAATCCACTTAATGCCGTTAGTAGTCATAAAATAGATTTCTCTCTCAGTGCGTCCAAATAATAACTGGCTAATTTCGCAAAAGTGATCAGGTATCAAGGACGTAATCTGTATTATCGTACTATTACAGGCTGATGTATTTGTGGTAAAATTTAACTGATGCTTCATTGTACTGTAACTACGTTGGTACACTAAATCGATCAAAGTACTGATAATAAATAAACATCCTATAAATTGTTAACGAAGTATCTCGAGCGCGACAATTTGTAGCTTTTCAGGACACGAACAATGGCTTGTAACACTTCCATTGACGTATAATAAATAAAGGTTGGATTCAAATATAATAACTGATTTAAATAATTAAAGTAATCTTATTGACTATTAACTAACCAATTGTGGATCTAATGCCATTCGTTTTGCTGATGGAGAACCCAAAGAATTCTTCTTTTTAACACTATTTGATAACCCGGTCGTCTAATGGCATAGATAATGTGATAAGATAAAATTAGCGTACAGTATAAGTAGACAAAGTAGTTAACAAAATCGAAATATTGATTTCGATATATTTGAGTACCTTGACCGGTGTTGATATCTGATTAGCTCCATAAGAACTACGACGTCGATCACCTCCTAATTAGTAAGATAACAGAATAGAGTATCATAAATTCTGTTCCCCAAAAAACAAGTTGTTCAAATAGGATGAAATGTGGTAATAATATGCGGATCTAAATGCAAACGACGAGATGAAACATTATCTTCTAAATTATAAGATGATATACACAAGTCCTGTACAATGTTTTTATTGGTCGTATCATCGATATTTACTGTAGTAATACGGTTGAGGATAGAAGGCAGTTAAGATATCGCCAATAACTAAGAGCTGCCATGTTGACATTCAATGGAATATACTGAAACATCCACTGTCAGCTGAAGTACTACAGTTCGTGAATCCGCTTAATCAAATGTGATTGATTGAGAGGATTGCGTACTCGTACTGAGTATCATCTACACAAGATGCATCACGAAGGTCATATTAACGTCATGATGATATTTAAACGATGTCCGCGTTTTACAACACTGGTATCAAGTCATACCGTTCTGGTCAAACCTACTAACATTTTTCATAATATAATTCTATAGTACAAATAGCTCTGTCTACCCGATTTTAAGATTTGTCTATCTTCAGTAGAGTACCACATTTACAATTACAGTCTCATACTAAACTAAAATTTGCCACCTTATCGCCTTAAAGAGATAACATTCCTTTTTAACGTCGTCTATCCTGTTATATTTCATAGTTACAATGTAGATTATAATAATTAATTATGGACACCAAAAAGTTGTAAGCCAACACACCTTAACCATTTCAATTCAGCCAATGTATAACATATATAGACATGTTTATATGACACGATGACGAATCCCGTGGATTACAGTTCTCGTAGTTATTAACAAATATAAACTCCTCTCTATATCGATGAAAGTTTACTTTTGTAATTTAATGAGCTAGAAATATTACTACATTACTAGTTGAATACCCATCACTCTTCAATACAGTATCATAGTAAGGGTCTAGGACAATTTGACGCGGATAATTTACCGCTGTACAATGTACTGTAGTATAGAATGAAAACAATATCAATATAAATTTGATATTACGAGGATGAATTGAATACTTTGCAGTATTCAATTAATCTAATGCAGTAAAGTGTCTGTTTTGATATTACGAGGATGGATTTAATATTATGCAGCGTTCAATCCTATACAGCGTAAAATTATCCGGTTTCGTATAGTAAAGTAGACGGATATGCCACGTAATCGCGTATTAAAATGTAATGTATAAAAAATGATGATCAAGTGGCGTTATCTTACCATAGCGTGTACAGTATTCCAGAAAATTTATTCTACAAGATGTATCGCACATTACAGTTTAGAGATATTAAATATTAATTATTATTCCATTAAACAAAATATCTTTCAAATTGGAACATGACCATGTATCTAATCGTTTAAATTATTATCGTACTTTAAAATTATTTGGCATACGATATCTGACATCGGTGTGTTAACCCAATAAAACTGATAAAGAGATATGAATTGCATAAAGCAAAAATTCTGCAATTTATTACTACAGTATGCGAATACAGTACTACGCGTTTCAGCATCTAAACGACTGCATCCACAAGTCTGTGACGATAACTATAGTAACTGACGATTGCATTCTGAGTAAAATTTGTAGAATTATGTATCCGCTCTAGTATTCTACTCCACAAGTCTGCATTGGTTACTGTAGTGACTGATGATTGGATTAGAATATTTGAATACCCTTGTAACCATGTCGATCTGTGTTTCATATTAAGATGATATTTTTCATCGTGGAAAAGGCCTACTACGCGTATACAATGCTGTAATCAAAACTAATGCTTAGTAATTGAAGTATAGTAAGGATTTTAATTCGCTTTTTCTGCATGTTTAAATCCTTTAAATTAATCTACCTATGCACTGTAGTGAAAGAATAGTAGTGCATATTTATTCATTATAAAATCCCTATCCAATACTTGCACCCAGTCATCCTATTATACTCGTATAGTATTGACACGAATTGAAAAAGGTAAGCATGATTACATCTATGATACAGGATGCTATAAAACATTCGCTTTCACATCTTATAGCATTAATTAAATGCTATCATGAAAACCCTATGTGATACGAATCAGGGTTTCATCTTGACTGATGGACTGGCATTGCAGCATTTGACATACCTACAGAGCAGAGTACAAGTTAAGTCTAGACGAATCAATAAAAAATTCTAGTGTGTACAGAACTGAACTTTGTTATAACGATATTTGTTGACTGTTGATTTGCCCATCGAAAACACTGAGTGACCTGATGCCATCTTGACATCGAGTAGGACGACTAAAGCATAGAGTGTAAAATGTTAACGTGATTTTTTTTAGCACCCCTTTCAATTTGGCCTCCATCATCGATATAGCCGTGTTTTACATATCGACGACTAGAGCCTAGCGGAATGAATATGGAATTGAGTGCATACAGACTATGGGGTGTTGTTGACTAGCACATCGCAGATGATGACCGAGCGATCTGATGCTATCTTGACATAGAAGAATCAAAGTAAGGCGATTGATCCTCGAGCGTCAAAATGTGAGAGTAATTTTAATACCCTTTTTTGATGATACCTCTATGAGTAATATACAGGGATAGAACAGAACAAATTTGCCCAAATTTTATTTTCGGAGCTAAAACAGTATGTAATACAATAGGTAACGCTGCCTGTTGATGAGGGCATGGACGAGCCTACTGTACCTGATGCCATCGTACAGAGAGCAAGACGATTGATCATCGAGCGTAACTTGGACGAGTGATTCTTTAACACCCCACTGGATTTCATACCATGCAAATTTTGACAAGTGCAGAAAACGATCATGGACATTTGCTAAAGATGCTATCCACAATATTGATACTGATCGTTGCCGGTATAACGCTTTCGATGTTTACAACTTCCAACTCGACCCTCATGTTTGTGACAACAAAATAGTATTTAGGAAAGTCAAAGTCAAGCACATTATGTGATCGGCTAGTGATTTATCCTTCATGACATGTTGCTCTACTCCATTGGAAATTATTTTTTTGTTAGACTAGACGATATTGCTATCGTAAACCATGCGAAAAATGGACTGAAGAGATTGTAAAAGGACGAAATGACGTGGAGTGGAAGAATCGCTAGTGGTCCACTTTTACTTTACTTCACAGGTATGTACTGGAGTAGAGTACTACCATGGTTTCTCTACTCTACAGTAGAGTAGAGACTAGACGATGTTGTATTGGATGTGAAAGAAGACGGTTTGTGTCCAGTTCGTCCCGAAACGAGGATATCACACCAAACTTGACTGAATACAGTAGCATGGGTACAGTATGAAACGATTTGGTCAAATGTACAACCCCTTGGCGTTCAAAAATGGGAGCAAATGGTCTTCCTTCAACTCGTCGCAATGGTACATTATGAGA